GTTTCTTTATACCAGAGATGTGAAAGGTATTACAAGCATCGCATCAGATCTGAACGAGGCCTTGCAGATTAAAACCAGTGTATGGAGCTCTAGGTGTATTGCTCTAGTTCTGATCAAGTGTGATCAACTTGATCATTGAAGCAGAATAACTAGCAAACAAATTGTGCTCATCAGACAGCTACTAGCTGCTACTGCTGACATGTATGTATATGTATGGTACTTATCAGTGACCTTCATGTGCATGTAGCTCAAGCTCTAGCTTCAATTCATCAGATTAATCTTATTCTCCATGGATTGGAAGGCATTGAATTTTACCATCCTCTGTATTAGGGTATGTATCAGGGTCTGTATGGAGTCGGAAGGACATTGGCCCATTAGCTCATAATTTTTATAAGATGATGACATGGAGCCTAACAAAATGATTGGTTGAGAGCGTACACGTGACCAGGCATTTATTTCGCCTAACACGTAATTTTGATAATGACCGGTCATTATCAAATGCTTATGACCGGTCATTAGTAAAATAATGTTTTAAAACATCATTTTATAAACCAAATAATTTTTTATCATTTTGTTTGGGCATTAGTGAAATTACCCACACTCAGAACCTTCAAAACAGTCCAAACACCCTCGGCTATCGCCTCGGGCGTGTTAGACTGTTCCAAAGGTACCTTGTGTATTAATAACACACAGTTAAAGATAGTGTATCCCTTTTGCAGCCAACATCAAATTCTGTAGAACTTTGCAGGAATTATGATAGAATCGGCAAAATATTTTTTTTTTTTTTTTTTTTTTTTTTTTAGGGTGAAAAAGAGGGGTGCGGTTAATACACAAGGGCAGTTTATACACCGTTAATTACAGTACATAAAATGAGCTGTAAAGGGTACATGAGCATTTGTCAACATCAATAACCTACCTCTTGTAATGGCCAAAATTAAACTGATTGAATCTTTGCGCAGCACAAAACGTACAACTAATGGTTAGAAGGTCTAATTAAACGACAGCGATCACTAAATTCCCAGAAAAAGACATTTTCAAGCCCCTTTGTTTTGAGGAAAGTTCTAAATTATTATTATCTTTCAAATGCCGTTGGAATTTAACCTTTCAATTTTCCGGCCTGCAAATGGGACACAGTACCTTTAACATAACATATGTATAACTTAAATGTGTAGAACTACATGTATAGTAAGTGTGTCGTCCAAGCAGGGTATAGTCCCACCTCCCTGGTACAAGTTAGTATTATGATGTACACAATATGTGCATTGTAAAGTAGACCTCATACACCGGCATGCAAAGGATCAATAGTCAATACATTTCAATTTTGTAGTCTGCATGAAAAGGTCATGCATTTCAAATTTTGTTTCATTTCCAATAAATTAGGACACAGGATATTAGGTCATTTGAGATTACGAAGAAAGGGATAATTACATGTTTCCAACTTTCCATGGATTCCTTGTACAATTTTGAAGTTTGTACATGTAATCCAGAGCTGAGCATACGTATTTTCCTGTAATCCAACACTTTCTAAAAGTAGATTTTCTTGTACATGATGTGATTGGTATGCCACCCATTAGCTTGCATATATAATGAACCTCCTCACTCTTCCTCATCTTCCTGTTATTTTGCTCTGGTCTTTGGTTTATCTTCCGGTATCCTACCATGGTATCCTACCATTGTATTCCATTCACTTCCTGCCAGCGTGAGACCTGTCTACCCTTTAGTTTATCAGCCTGTTCAGACCAGGGAATAATTTTCTTCAAATTTTTTGATTAGCAATTTCAGGCGATGGATAAATATTTCAAATGAAATTCTGTACATGTACATTTCTATGGAAGAAAACTGCTACACAAAAGATATTTTGTATAGCAGTCATGCAAAAATGCATAGCAAATTGCGATGCGATACCAGGAAAATTATTCCCTGCAGACTATAGGAAAGTTACTATTACAGTGTACATGAAGAACATAGAATATAAAAGAAACGTCATATAAAGAAACTAATTTTGACAAGATCAAAGCCTCAGTCACCATTTCGATCTGCTACGAACGCCGTACGAACGAGTTCCAGACCATGGAAAAACAGGGAGACCGGCGTTCGTACGAACCTTTGTGGCCGTAGCTTAACATTACATTTGTTATATGGCATTTCTTTATACAACGTTCAGACTAAGACAAATTGAATTACTTATCGTATAGCTATACGATAAAGGCTGTTAGTCTGAAAAGTGTATATCTTTCAACACACACTGCTTGTCTGCCTACTGTACACACATTAGGAAATATTATAAAATGCACCCTAATCTCAAAACCTACTGATCAATGGAGGAATTCATTGTTATACTTGTTTATGTATTTACTCTACTTTATTCATTGTTTTGAACAAACGTTTCTGAACATTTTATGTTGTTTCAATCCCATAATTCTGTGCATTATGCAAGGCCAAACATTTTGTAATTTTTTTGTTGTTAAGGACTCCACTGTCTATTTCAAATAATTTTCCTACAGCTTCACAACCTAATCATTTTAAAAGTGTGTGTGTTCAGTCCAACTGTAATGACCATGAAAAACTGAAATGCCTGGTATTTCTTTTCTAAAAAGACATGTTTTTTTATTCACACTTCTTATCAATTGAAAGAGGAAATTACTTAATGCAGAATGAACTTAAATGAAGAAATTTTGTGAATACTCTGACGATAAAGCACTGCTTCTCCAAACATAATTTGGGTGAAGTATTTTTCTTAATTACAGCATCTCCCTGCCTGTATATAATGCTATATTCATGTACAATACTAGCTTCTACCATCTTTTTTCTTCTTTTTTTTTTTGCCATAAAACTTTTAAGTTTGAATAGAAGCAGATTATGATGGTATTCTAGTTTTAGATTTCGGTATCATTCCTCAGTAGCAGTGAGTCTAGCCATGTGAAATGATCTCTTATTGTCAAGTTCTGAACTTTGATCGAGTATGGGAAGGAACAAAACACCCACCTAAACTCCCTCCCTCTAAGTAAAAAGCACTCCCATACCAGGTATGACTAGGATGGTGCAAACAGTACACATACAAGTATGTAATGTTCATTTTCAAATGACTGGAATTTATTTTCAAAGAATTTAATAAGAGCTATTTTTTTCCTTCATGTTGGTATACTAATTCCCAGCTAAAATATATCAAGGTTTTTTAACAAGTGAAAAACATATCTCCCCATACCCCAATGAGCAAATCTTTGAATGTGTTATTAAACTTGCTTATGTTCAGGAAGCAAATATTGTTGTAAAGCAGTATTTGTTTAATGATTGAGTGACTTTGAGTCTGTAGCAAGTTATTGAATGTGCTTGCTTACATTGGGCTGGACATAATGAAACATACATGTAGATCTGCTCTTTTGAAATCTTTTGATTTGGGGTGAAATTTTGATTGATGCAGCAACAAGTGATTTGTACCGCTCACATTGGAGAGCAAAATATACGACTTTGAACAATTTCAAAAGCATTCCTGTAAACTCCAAAGTTCAGAGAAGTTTTCAGACAATATTACTTGTGCTATAAGAGAACAAAAAAGAACTCATGTGAACATAATTTACACTGTTTACTTCAACATTCAGGAAACTATATCAAATCAAGAATTATGGTAAAAAGAAATACACAACCAAAGAAATTACTTAATTTGTAGGTTACCAAAGTCAGCTTTCGGCAGTCATTAACAAAATTCACAGTTCCATGTACATCTAAATTCAAAAAAATTAATTAATCAATTAAAAATAAAATATAAATTGCTGGAAGTATGACTGCGAAAGAAAAATAACAATAAGTATTCAATTTAGAGAGAAAGTGATTGAAGGATCTTTCAGGAATTTTTATATTGCAGGAAGAGTGAATTAAAGGTATTACAAAGTTTTGGTATGGGGTCATGAATTTGGTTCAAATTAACATATTGGAAGCATACATGTATGCGTTCCTACAATATACATTGATCGTTGTCGCGGTTGAAATCGAGTCTAAAGTTATGAAATTATAAATAATAAACTCTTTATGTTGTATAGCTCCCTCTCAAGGTCAAAATATTAATTTAGCTATGAAACAATGTTTCTTGACTGAAATCGACCGACTAGCTATTCCCGTTTGGAAATTATATATCCCAACTACATATTCTGAGATTTTCATGGTCGCAGCTACGATTGTACGGCCATAGGCGCTATTTGAAATTATCAAAATTTACCGGGAGCACCGGTAAATTTTTATATTCAATTTTTCTTGAAAACAGAAGTGTTTTAGGGGCTATTTTTTTAGTGCTTATAATACATGCACAGGGGCATCCTATCAAAATTGTAAAGATTCACTATCCACCCAATTTTCAAAATTTCCCAAAACTTTGTATTACCTTTAATGAATTGCCAGGCATTAACTCTGTTATGCCACCACAGCCCATCTCTAGCTATCTCCCGGACCAAATGCTTTGACGAGATACAGTAATAATGGCAACAATGCATTTTCCTCTCTTGCCCAAAAACTCAGGAACAATCTTCCCATCTACATCCATAATTATCTCCTCCCCAGACACTTTCAAGAAACATCTCAAATATTTTCTTCTTAGGCATTCCTAGAAGAAGTAGTAGTGATAGTGGTAGTGGTAGTGGTAGTGGTGGAGGTGGTAGTGGTAGTGGTAGTAGTAGTAGTGGCAGTAGAGGTAATAGTGGCAGTAGAGGTAGTAGTGGAAGTAGTAGAAGTACAGTAGTAGTAGTAGTAGTAGTAGTAGTAGTAGTAGTAATAGTAGTCGTAGTAGTAGTAGTTGTGAAATTTATGTGTCACTAATGATTTCTCTCTCTCTCTCTTTCTCTCTCTCTCTTTCTCTCTCTTTCTCTCTCTTTCTCTCTATCTCTCTCGTCTCCCCTCCCTCCCCCTCTCCTTTCATTCCTGTCGCTTCTTGGGCACAATAGAAACGTGGTATTCAGCGCTTTATAAATGTTTCATGTGTTACTCAAAGTAACAAGAACTGGCATACTTACAGGCCCATGACTTTCACTATCGTCCAACATTTCTTCATGGCTTTTCCCCTGAAAAGATAAAATATAACAAATATTGAATCCAGAACTAGTCATACTGGAATTTAGAATGGATCTAACAGGTAAACATAGCACAGATTACTACAGACCCCAAACAATATCATAGTTTCATTTTGTTATTGAGCACTTCACAAGCCCTGTCTGGTGCTGCAGGGGTGTTGAACCCTCTAGGTCTCTGGGAGGGGGGGGGGGTGCACTTCATATTTTGATTATGTGGGCAACAGGCATTTGACTAGTCATCCTTTTTAGAGGACATTTTTTAATGATATTCTTCCACACCAATGTTGACAAAAATGAAAAAAATCTCACAAAATATTTTGCAACTTTCCCAAAGCTCAACCTCTTCTTTTAAACTGAACTTTAGTTTTTTTCATCTGATCAAGCTGATTAAAAATTTACCCTAATTTCTTTTTCAGGAAAATCTTGATGATTCCCATTTTTATTTTTGGGCATTGAACACATTAAAAAGTGGTTCTTTGCCACTGCCACACTTCATCAGCTCTTGTTGAGCATTAGGGTTAATATTTTGTTAATCATAGTAATTGGAAAGTAACAAGATTGATTTTGTAATCTATACTGCACCAATTGTCATTTCCGAACAATAAACATGCACTCCCTCATGCAGACAGTTGTGATTATAATTTGGCTTTGGACAAGAGTGACTTGATGATACCAAAACACAACCATCAAAATTCTGCATGACTGAAAACAGAACTTGGGTTGATTGGATGACCAGTAGGGGTGCTGGTCCGCATAAACGAGGATCGTCTTCGTAAACGCGGACAGAGGCGTCTGCAAAAATAAGGATCGTCCTCATTTTCTCTGACGTTTTGTATTTCCGATCTGCGCGTTAGCGATACGAAAATCGAATCGGATGATTTTCTTGATGCATTTCAAATTTAATTTTTACAGAGACTTTCACGTTATGAGCGATAAATCTTTGAAAGGACGGACAACCCATAAAAGCAGACAGTGAACTGGGGTTATTTCATTCGCGGAATCCGTTTTTCGCATCGCCGGGTCTATGACCCGAAACCTGCAGAGCGCCGATGAAAAAAGACAATCCATATTTTTTAGGACGCAATTTGCCAGCGTTTCCAATATCTTTGTTTATGCGGACAATCCTCATTCTCGGACCAGCACCCCTACTGATGACAAATTAAGACGCTACTTTTTCTCCTTGTTCTCCCTCATCCGGTTTTACCAGAGATCAGCTAAAAATACTGCTTTCATCAGTGAAACTGTATATTTTACTGAATCTGAAATAACTCTAATATGTAACAATTGCAAGCAGCAAAGAGCAAATGTTGAAAAATAAAAAATGATTGACGTAAAGTCCAACTCAAGTATTTATTAAAAAAATACATTTTCACACAAATCTATATTTAGTTATTACTAGACTTCTATGCCAAGATGTTTTTGGCAGCCATCAAATATAATTAAATTGTATTTTTACAAAACAATACAATGTCAACTAATATGGCCCCACTGCCACCTCAGCTGTTCCGGTTGAGATCCATGCTTATGCACATCATTCAACGGAAGCAGAGGCCAGCCAGCGCCAGTAGCCAACATTATCTAACTCACTCACTGGTTGGTATCCCCGACCCCGGTTCCTTTTAATACTTTTAAAATCTGAATTTTAATTTACCTCTGCCAGTTGTTTTACTGGCACTTTCTGCCAAGGGTCCGCTAGCTGGTGTAGCGGCATCTTCGAATGAAGTCCGAGAAAAATTTTGAGAGATTTCAAATGCTTCCAGGAAGAAACCAGTCTGTGGAAGTATCCCACTTTGAACCTGTTGTGTGCCGATACGTATACCACCAGTCCCGATGTAATGTGCACAATATTCCAATGCAATAATAGCGCATTCTCTATAACATACACCCAATATGGACGTTCGGACAACTTGAAACTCAGATGGCGCTATGGAAAGATTCATATCGCTACGAGGACGTGACCACTCAGAAGTCGAGAAAATGAATAATCATTCCTTAAAGGACATTCGTAGGACATTCTACAAATGAAGGGGGGGGGGGGATTATATTCCACTTTTATTTTCAATAACAAGTTTTAATCAGCAAAATCATGAAAAGTGATTGGAGGCTATATTAGAATTATACTGAGATAAGGCCAATCAATTACTTATCCCCCAAGAAAAAAAATCTTAAGTTTCTCTCAGATAACACATTTTCCGATTTTAACCTATACTCAATACTAACAGCTAGTATTCTTTTATTCTTCTACATTGTATATTGAAGTCAATCCCCGATTTTTAAAAGCCAAGAGTGGGGAGGGGCAGTAAACAGAGCTAGATGCGCTCTCCTTTTTTGATTTGCATAGGCCGGGGGGGGGGGGGGTCATTGTTTTACGACACATATCAAATGCTCCTGCGATATATTTTGTTCCACGATAATACTGACCGCATTGTTAACTTCAACCCAGGACTTCAACCATGAACCCAACACCCTAACCTAAGTAAATTAAGGTATAATATAATAATTAACTTCACCCAAATCCTGATAACCTATAGTTTCTAACCTGAAACCAAATTGCATCCCTAACCCTATAAAAACCAAAGGATTTTATTGTTGCCGGAGTAGTTTCGGATCACCACTATTATCAATTCTTATGGGTTATTCGATCAATAATTTATTGAACAGTTGTAATGTTGTATTATTAATTATTATATTATACGAACCTGAAACTCAACTCAAATTGATTGGGGAATGAGATTGATCCTAGATGGGATGGGATTAGCTGAGTTTCATGTAATGAAGTGGTAAAGTATTAGGCGAGTTTAAAGGGAAAGTCCACCCCAAAAATAAGTTTGTTTCGATAGAGGCAGAATAATAAGAAAATCAGGTGAGTGAAAGTTTGAGCAAATTCTGAATGAAAATAAGAAAGTTATGAATTATTGAAGTTGTGATCAATCAAATACAATTGGCAACTCTGTGACTTATTTACGAGCTCTCCTTCATTTGCTCTGTGCATAATATTCCATAAAATCATGTTTTCTTCGTTATTGATGACGGAATATATATTTGTTCCTTGCAGGGGGAGTATAGAACATATTTGCAATTATTATATTTAGGGTGCATGTATGGTTGAAATTTTTCTTGAGGGAAAATGAAAATTTTAGATTTTTTTAGTGTGAGCAAATGGAAGTTGAGCTCGCATGATACGTCATAGAGTTGCCAATTTGTGTTTGATTGATCACAACTTCAAAAATCCTAACTTCCTTATTTTTAATCGGAATTTGCTCAAACTTTCACTGACTTGTTTCTCTCATTTTTCTACTCCTATTAAAACTAACTTAATTTCAGGGTGGACTTCCCCTTTAAAACAAGGTGCGGTGGGGCGTCTTTCAAAGAGGGAGCACAGAAGGGCACTTAATTGGGGGAAACGGGGCACTTACAAAAGGTAACTTCAAGGCGGAACTACTGTTAAATACCCATACTTATACTTATGTTAATGATAGTCTGAAGATTCGTTTGCGAGAAAGAGAAGTGAGCCAGCATAACAAACAAAATTTGTGAGGACATAATTATAATTGTGACCGGTCCGATATCAATTATTTGAGACAATACAAAACAAAAAACCCCAAAATAATATAAATTCGACAGTCAAGGTTCAGCTACATTATAATTGGATAAAATTTGAATATAATACTCTCGATCGTAGCGAGCAAGCTTTGGGGGAAATTCTGAAAAGAATGCTAGGGCACGTATAGCCTACTAAATTAGTAGGCTATACGTGCCCCAACATTCTTTTCAGATTAAATGCGAAAGCGGGAATAAGAATTTGTTTTAGAGGATGAAGCGGAGTCAAAATATCTTGTCATAGCACATTATTGTATGCCCTTTTTATACATGATTTACATTAACTTGGTATATGCTTTGCAGTTGTCTCGAAAAAAAAAAACAAATTCAGTTTTCAAAGCGCACTTTACCCAAATTCATGACACCGCCATTATGGAAATGCAGGGGCAGAGAAAGATCATTATATGAAAGACATTTGGGGGAGGGGGGGGGGGTACTGAATTCATGGATGTTGTATGATTCAGTCAGTGGCAGATTCAGGGGGACGCAGGGGGCACGTGCCCCCCGATAACAAAAAGGGGGAAGGGGAAGGGGAAAAGAAAAAGGGAGAAAAGGAGAAAAATGAGGGGGAAAGAAAAAGGAGGGGAAAAGGAAAGGAAAGGGAAGAGAGATAGAAGAAGAAAAGAGGGAGGAAAGAAATGGGAGAGAAGAAAAAAGGAGGAAAGGAAGAAAGGGGAGGAGAGAGGAGAGAAAAGGCGGAAAGGGAAGAAAGGGGGAAAGACGGAGGAGAGAAAAGGAGAATAATGAGAAGGGAAACAAAAGAAAGGAGGATGATATTATAAGAAGGTGTTTTTTTTACCGGGAAAGAGGCGGGGGGGGGGCACGCAATGTTGCAGCGTGCATTATGCCCCCCCCCCCTCAAAAAAAAAAAAAAGCGCAAGAAGAACCAAAAAAAAAAAAAAGAGATGGAAAAAAGGGGGAAATAGAGAATGTTTGTGAGTACAAGGAGAGAGGAAAAATATGAAAGAGAATTAAACAACGATAGAAGAGAGGCGCGAGAGCATGAGGAATTGCATTTCTTTTAAAATAATAATGGGATAACAATCAAGGGCGTTGCTAAAGAGGAAGGGATGCGACACCCCACCTGTCAGGATATTGTCGGTAAAATTGCGCTGCTGTCGGTAAAAATGAGAAAAGGGGGAGGGGGGAAATGAGAGGGAAAGAAAAGAAGGGGAAAATGAAAAGAAAGGAAAGAAAGAGAAGAGAATAGAAGAATGAAAAAGAAAAAAAAAGAAAAAAAGAGGAAGGAGAGGAAAGAAAGGAAAAGGAAGAAAAGAAAGAAAAGTAGAAAAGGAAACAAAAGAGTGAAAAGGGAAACAAAAGAAACAGGGGAAGAAAGAGAGGAGAGAGAGAAGGGGTTAGAGCTTGATAGAAGAGGGGTGGGAGTAAGAGAGAGAGAGGGGGATGTTGGGTGGAGTCACCACGTCCAGGGGCAAGAAAGATACGCATAGATAGTTGTGTTGCTGTGTCGGGTCCGCTGTGTCGGTATTCTTGCGATCCTCGTGTGCTATATCAATGCAGAAGTTTGAAGTCGGTGAAATGTATTATGTCGGTCGGCCGGCAATTTTTTCCCCCTACGAACTGTGACTTCTTACCGGACAAGAAACATTTTTGAATATTCAGACAATGATGTACAACGAAGCGTTTTCTTTCTCTCATAATTAAATGAAACGTCAAAGCTTCCACGCTTCGCGCGGGAGGGAGGAAACTGAATTCAGACAAGAATTAAAAGTAATAATTTAATGAATTTCGAGCATTTTGAAATAATTCAATGAAACGTCAAAGCTTCCGCGCTTTGCGCGGAAGGGGGAAACTGAATTCAGACAAGGATTAGGAATAGAGAACGGTAAACCGAATCGTCTTCTTTCTCTAATAATTTAATGAAACGACAAAGCTTCCGCGCTTCACTTCAAACAAGGATTAAGAATTTTAATTTAACGAAACGTCAAAGCTTCGCGCGGGAGGGGTCGAGAACTCACATTGTCTTCTTTCTCGTCAAAGCTTCCGCGCTTCGCGTGGGATGGGCGAAAATGAATTCAGACAAGGATTAAGAGTAATAATTTAATGAAACGTCAAAACTTCCGCGCTTCGCGCGGAAGGGGGGGGGGGGGGGGAACTGAATTTAGACAAGGATTAAGAGTCGAAAACAGACAACGAATCGTCTTCTTTCTCTAATATAAATGAAACGTCATATCTTTTGCGCTTCGCGGGAGGGGCGAAACAGTCCTGTACAGTCCTCATATCTACCGCTATAGCATGGTACTCCATGAAGAAAAGCATGATATATCTATGCCTCGAACAGGCTTTTAACAATTGCGTATATATCACGGTAGTTTAAAGGGGCACACTTTTTAATGTAAAAAATTATGTACAGGCTGCTCTTCTTGTATTAAGGGGATTTATCTCGAGAAGAGGCATAGTGATATCCTTTGAAATGAGCACTACGACCAGTATGTTTTTTTTAAAGTGGCACTGTTTGTTCTTGTAATATTGGCGACATTGTGCTCCCCCCCCCCCCGCTCCCAGTTCAACTTCTTTGCACTTTTGATGAGAGCAATTAATAGAGTAAAGGAACTTATATAAGCTTCTCCAGTTCTTTAAACTATAATGGGAAACGTAAACAAAACCTTGGGCATGAACATGATTATCAAGGACTTTTATCAGAAGAGAGGAAAGTGCAGTTATTTGGAAGAGAGCATATCCAAAGAAAAAATGGGGAATTTTCGGAGTATAAACAGGAACCCTTATCCGAAGTATACTAACTGTTGGGTGGGATGCGGGCTCCATCCCAGTATACATCAATGATGTATGCTGCTAGCCTCTAGAATCTAGACGGCGGGTGGCTAGCCAAAGGGAATATTTTCCTTTTCCTCCCCTGTTGTAAAGCCGATATGTTAATACCAAATTCTAAAACTATATTCTAAAACTATAAGTTACATTTATTCTCTGAAAGTGATGGACAGCTAGAATAAGTGCTCTGTGATCTCATTCTTCACTTCCTGGAAGCCAGCGATTTGTGTGTAGGCCATAAAGCGTTGTATTCATACTATTTTGCCATTTCTTCATGGCAGTAGCACAATAGGTTTTGAAATATCGAGCCATTACACCAATCGGCTATATTTAGCATGCATTGCGCGCACTCCATTTGCACATGTGTATGTACGCAGATCAACAAGGCGACAGAAAGTCATTCATTCTTTAACGAATTACGACACATGAATTGCAAGTTTCTTTCAGTGGATTTCTCATTTCAAGTGCACCAGATCATCCATCATGCCAAAGAATAAAGGTGAGTTGTAAAAAATAACTCGATTTCATTCATTTTAATTCGAAATTTCACACAATATGTCGCCAAAGTTGACATCTGTGAAGTCTACAGTAGTCACTCAATGCAATGGGACTAAGGGAAAAAGTGTTGTGTGATGGACTGAGCTGATGAGCTGATTATACTTTGTTTTCAATTGCTTAAAGTTAACAAAGTCATTGTTACAGAAGAAATTCTTTAGTTTGCATTGATTCTACATTTTCTTAAGTTGAGTTTATGAGAAAATTAAGTCGGACAAATGTTTTTTTGTCGATATTGAATGATGCCCATGACTTGAGTTGACCATCGCCATTTTGTTTATTTTAAGTTACCTTGCTTGGGTTTAACATTTGAAATGCGTTGCTAAACTACATCAACGCACATGTCATAAATGAATGCAAATTTTGATTTTACAGGTGATGTATGTGAACTTCACCTTGATTTCAAATTGGTCCGAGAATGAGGATCGTCCGCATAAACGAGGATATCCTTGTAAACGCGGACAGATCGTGTCTTAAAAAATAAGGATCGTCTGCATTTTTGCAGACTTTTTTTCCTGTGGAGCTTTGCGGGTGTAGGGTTCCCAATTTGCACGCTGGCAATGCAAAAAACAGATTCTGCATAATAAGATACCTTGGTCTCTGTACAAAGTCAATCAGGAAATCTGTTTTTCGCATCGCCAACGCGCGGTTTGGAAATAGATTATGCTTGACGGGATTAAACACTGTCTTAAGGTTTGTTGAAAGGTTGTATTCTTGATTTTCTTTACAGGAAAGGGAGGAAAGAACAGGAGGAGAGGAAAGAACGAGAACGAGTCCGAGAAAAGAGAACTGGTCTTCAAAGAAGACGGACAAGGTCAGTGAATCCTGTCAGGATTTTTTTGTTTGGGGGGGGGGGGGGGGGAGAGGGAGAGACAGAGGAGGGGGTAGGAACTCTGTGACCATCGGAGATGCATGGTAATTTTCTCTATGTTCATAATATTTATTTCCATTTTGGTATTTTGCTGTCACATTCAAAAGAAGTTAACTGGGAAATAAGTTCATAACTTGAATGTCTTTGGGACTCCATTCTAGGAAATCTTATATTAAATATTTTTACATTGTATTGTAGTCCTTGTAGATTTGCATCCCTGAAATTTGGTCAGCCTTTGGTAGGAGAAAAAAAATCAATGAATATTTTCAATAAGAATTGTTTATCATTGAGTACATGTGGGACAAATATTTTAGTCTTTTTTTAACAGACATACTGTATTAACTATAAGGGAAATTTAGTGAAGGAAAACTTAATTAACTTATAGAACAAATGTCAACCCCCCTTGCAACCTTTAAAGTAGACAGAATCTCAGATCTTTTTATTTTAATTTTTTAATTTTTGATGAAAGACGGAAGTAGGAATATTGTCTCTCTGCATTTCAATCATAGTGTTACTCACAGGCTCTGATTGACAAATGAATGCTACATGGTTTTACACACTGTATTTGTATTAATTGCTTATTTCTTTCTACAGAGTATGCTCAGGTGATTAAGATGCTTGGTAATGGAAGGTTAGAGGCGCTGTGTTTTGATAGCAAAAAGAGGTTGTGTCACATCAGAGGAAAATTAAGAAAAAAAGTGAGTATGTTGTTGGAATTATTATGGCATACAAAGCAAAGTATTATTTGGTGTTTAAAGGCATTGTTTAACAATGTTTCCACTTTTACAAATCAAAATGCATGGCCTATGTGTATCAGTGTCTGTGATATGGTGTAGTATTGAAGCCCAAACAAAATTGCGCTCCAAAATGATAATGAAGTGCCTCAAAAAAGTAACAAATTTTGAGTGACCTGTTTTCCCATACTCATTTTCCCCATTAGACTGTAGTGTTATTAAAACCGTTGGGATAATCAGACAGGCGATCGGCTTGTAAAAGTCATGGGATTCCTGACTGCGCTATAGGTTTATAATTATGATTGCAACATGAGCTAAATCCAGAATTTTGTTTAGAATCTGAGGCAAAGATACCCAATCCCTTTAATACACTTCAAAGTAATAAGTACCATTTTGTGGAAAATCTGTTTATAACATATTTATTTGCTCATTATATGATATTAAGCAAATAATTACTGTTGGTGAAGGTGATGGGACAAACTATCACTTCCAAGGCGATCTGGATGTAGCTATCTTTCCGAAGCGAAGCTGAGGAAAGATAGCATATACAATACATTCAGATCGCAGAGGAAGTGATAGTTTGCCATCATCTGAAACCAAAAGGTGATTATTTGCTTTATATTCCACATGTGAAACAATTTAACTACAGAAGTCAGAAAGAAAAGGATGTGTATTCATCTACAAGAGACACCTAGGCCCAAATTCACCCCAAAAAAGTTTAACCCAACCCCTCCTTTGTGCGCGCATGTGTTTTCTTTAATTGCGGGCATTGGTAATGCACGCTTATTTACGCCTATTTTAGTGCGCTTTTGGATAAGAAAGTACGCAGTGCAACACACTTTTATCCAAGATAGTACACAGTGCAGCCCCCCCCCCCCCCCCCACTCCGAGAACGAATGGACCCCATGCGTGTTGCCAAAATGTCCTTTTCGTAACAAAAGAAAAAGGTCGACCCGGCTGCGACGGGTAGTCGAATGCTCGAGTACCCGCACGGTTGACAACTACTCGGGTACGATTTCTCGTACCCGAATATTCGGCCGCAAAAAAAAAGAATTAAAAAAAAAAAAAAAAAAAAATGTCCAGGCCCACGCTTAGCCGTGCCAGGGAGAGCGGCGTCCGCTGGCATGGTACCGTCGGTAAAAATGTTTCCCAACTCAAGCACTGTCTAACTCACCTTTCAGAAACTGGGACCAAATGTCTGGATTTCTGTTTGGACTTGGAGGGAAATGGATTATTCTGCCATCTTTGGTTTTTAAAACAGCATTGTTTACTGTTATTATTCTTATTAAATCGGCGCCTTCAACTGCAACTCAAAGTAAAGTTGCATGCGTTTTCAGCGAGGGACCTTAGAAACTGCCGAGTGGTATGGTAGTGGCAAAAAATGAAGAAAAAAAAAAAAAATCAAAAAATCAAAAAATTTAAAAAAAAATCAAAAAAATTATAAAAAAACATGGCGTCCGAATATTCGAGTATTCGCCTGTGAGCCTGGGAGTGTACTCGGGTACCTCATTACACTGTTGAGCACAGCCCTAGTATTGACTTTACACACCAGACTTTTGCTGAAAAGGGGGGATGCTGAAAAAGGCTCGTATACAAAAGAAAAAGGTCGAGCCGTATTGACTTTACACACCGGACTTTTGCTGAAAAAAGGGGGGGGGGGGGGGTCGGTTGGAACACGCATATGCGTACCCTAAATAACACTGAGTGGGGGGGGGGGCCGGGAGTGCAGCGCTGTAATTCTATAGAACAAAGCTATTAATTTGAGAGATCGGCGAAACACAAAAATACTGCAGGGCGATTGATAGGCGCATCTATCTTTCTTCACATGATTTACTTTTGACCAATCATAGAGCTAGATTAATGTTGTTGGCCATAGAAGCTGGACTGAAATTGAAATAAGATAGAATCATAGCTTGGCTACCATAACATTCAGCCCTTCTAGAACAAATTGTAGAAAGGCAGATGCAATTCAAAGCATAATATTATCGTTCTAAATGGATTATTTGATTTCTTGCAGGTTTGGATCAATCAAGGTGATATCATATTGATTGGTCTGCGTGATTACCAAGACGAGAAAGCGGATGTCATCCTCAAGTACAATGCCGACGAAGCAAGAAACCTCAAGCTCTACGGAGAACTCCCGGAGAATGCCAAGATCAACGAATCGAGCGCGTTCGGTCAGGACTACGAGGATGATGAAGTGGCGTTTGACGATCAAGGCTTTGATGATGACATAGGGGATGAAATAGCGGGGGTAAGTAGCATCTACATGTAGGAGTAGTTGGTTTGCAGCCTTGTTGATGTGATGATAAGGAGCGATGATATAAGACATGGAATAGAATCAAACATCATCTTAAAGAGAAGGTTGAGTTCTAGGGAGAGGTGAAAAATAAGTTGTAAGCATTATCGTTGTTATCATGCAAGTGTGGAAGAACATCAGAGTAAAAATGTACCCTGAAAAGCATGGCCCTTCAAATGCCTTTATACCTTTTATGGCACATGTTTGTGTATACATCTTTCTGTGTACAGTGCGTTTTACTTTACCAAGACTGGGCAAATTTTCTTATCATTTTGATGACTCCAGAACCGTGCATTACACACCAATACTTATATGCTAGATGATCGACCTTTTCCAATCGATTCCGCACATTTCTTTCTCAGCATGCTCTGAATTTGATTTTTGTTCCCCCCCCACTCTACAGATTTAGCAGCGTGAGAGACAACAGGATGGGATCCACTCTGTGTGCCTCTGGTTTCAGTCTTGTGCAATGGAATTTAGCAAAGGACAATATAACATCGAACATCCACTCCTTTACTTCATGGAATCTTGGTCAGAAGGGGTTATGTTTCCATTTTTTTTTCATTCTGTGTGAGAAGGTTAAATACTCCTTATCTCCATCAAGTTTTGACCAAATCACACAGTTATTAAGGGTTGAAACAGGTTGAAAGTATAGACTATTCCAAACCTTTTTCTTCCTCATTCTGTTGCATTTCTATCTAATGTAAATGTGTATGTTTTGATTTCATTTTTAAATCTAATATTTAATAAATTTTCCTATGAGGAGTCTAATGGGTATCAGACTGTCTAACTTCCGTAATGGACAAAATACATATTATATTTAATGGCCCTTTTATTTGGAAGAGGGGGGGGGGGGGGGGGGAGGGGGAGGGGGAGGGGGAGGAATCGCTTTCAAAGGGGGCATACCCCTTTTGGAAGCTGAACCAAAGAAAGAAACAAATTATCCCAGAATTAATCTCTCCAGTCTGTATATGTTTGATGATTCAGTTTTCCCCATTTTTGTTTGTGGTAAAGATGGCAGCGGTGGGCTTATTTGAACAGATTTGAACAGTGTAATGTGAGTGAACTGTGGCACGATGCCCTAAGAATTCCTGCATCATCGTCTGTACTGTACAAAGGAGTGTGGATAAATTGTAATATAAATTTCATTGCACAAGCTACTGTAGATAAGAGAACATACAACAAATGAGGAGAAGCCAGGGCCCGTAAGGGACAATATTGCCTTTGTAAAACTGCATGCTATTTCATATTCACATAAACAAGGCCAATTATATAGCCATGCATGAGCCGATCACATGCATAACTGACTTGTGAATAATAATAAATGGACATATTTTTGTCCTAAAGAGAAATGCATAATGACTATATTGGCACGATGCAGTTTAATAGCAATTACAATGCGGAGATAAAACAATGTAAAGAGGAAGTTGTTTTAAGGCTACATGTTCATTTGTCGGTGCATATTTGAATTTTGAAGAAGTTTAAATTTTCTTCCAAATGCAAGACTGCTTTGTAATTCATAAACCTGTCTTGGATTTTTCTTTTCTTTATGGTTTCTAGACTAGTTTGGGAGAGATATTGAATGTCTGATCGCATTATTGACTTTAATGTTATGCTGAATACGTAAAAATGAAGATAAATTAAAGTCTACTGCTAAAGTCATTCATTTCAACAACACATTTATTGCATCCAAACACCGTGGCATTGTTAGGCCCAGCAAGACTGATGTATTGGAAAGGATTGATTACGGTATTAAGATTATTTTTTTGCAATTAAAATTGTTTTTCATCAATCGCTCTGATTCTATTATAAAATCTTCAGCACTTCCACCCAGAAAATCAAGTATTGTACGTTATTATGTCTTGTCTTTGGAATTTTTTTTTACAATGATTAATATATATTTATTACCATTCCCATCATTTCAACAGGTTTGATACACTTTCTCCATATAAGCAAGTTGCATGATATTAGAGTATTTTTTCTTTTGGATAGGGCATACATTGTAATTTTAAGACTTATCGTTTGACAGTCGTATTGGTTAAATGTGTTTGTAATACGTCAAATAAAGAGCATTCAAGAACCTTACCAGGATGATTTCACGGCAAGGATAAATAATTATTGATCAAGAAAATGGTTTAGATGAGCTCTGTACAAGAAACTGAATTTGTTTTCCAAGTTTTGTAATCTGCATACTAGTTGTAGAATTTGAGTCAGCACCGAAGTCAAATCATTGCCTGATGACTATTTTTTGTGCTATATTATGTTTTGTCCATGTACATGAAATTACTTTCTCATGTAGCTTGTATAAACTTTCCATTCAGATATCATTTACTTTCTGTATAGGCATGTTCACATATACCACAGTAAACTGCCACAGGTATTTTTTTGTTTTAGTGGGTGGGGGATATTAAATTAAGGGCCAGTGGAAATTTTAAAAAAGTGTCTGCATGCCACAAAACATAGTGCACCTACTCACTTGATCTGTGTGTCATAATAATCTAAAGATCTGAAGAAATTACCATGGTGAAACCACCTTGGTTACATGTTCTGTGGCTTTTGCGAACATGTAGTAAGGCTTTTGCTTTAGCTCTCCCAGTCATTTAATCCTAGAAGCAAGTGCCAGCATTGTTATGTACTTACCGGTATTTAAACAGGCAGGGATTACACATGTACAGTAAACCTGCTTTAGCAACCACCTGTATAGAAAGATTTTCTGTTTTCCTTGAATACATTACATTTCCCTTCTGAAACATGTACTAAAGGAACCTGTACATAAAGACCACCTGCCTATAGTATTACTTTTCTTGTCTCTTTTGAGTGGTCTTTCTATACAGGTTTCACTGTACATGTTACATGTAGTAGTAGCATGAGGTTATAAAAGTATATCTTATTTTAGTTTTTCAGTGATTTAGGGAAGGTTAGGTAAACCTTAAATGCACTTTTTTATTTGGTTTTCTTTTACTTCAGCATATTACATTCTGTAGGTTTTGGGAATAGGACATAATGCCACATTTTTTCATTTCTTTGATAGCTAGGGTTTGGATCTCACATCAAATGTACATGTTCTTTTATCAGTCCATACAAACCATTCAATTTGAATCAATAATTGCCATGGTATGATTAGTGTAATTTATAAAGATTAAAATTGAGAGATATAGACAAAAAGAATTAAAAGAAGCCAGCAACGTGGTTTTAGACAATGAATATTAAGATACTGATGTATAAAATAAGTTCTTTTTCTAAAGAATGAAATATTCAGAGAAGTAGAGATGAATTTTGGTAACCATACAGAATTAGCTGAGAAGAATATTGATTTACACTGTGTATAATTTGCATATATGGAATCTCGAGTATCAGACACACTTTTTATAAGTGATATGGCTGTAAATGAACTCCTTATGAGCATGCAAGACAAGGCCATTTTTGTTATAACAAACATTTTATGTTAAATAGCAGGCATTATGAAGTAAAACACTGCAAATAAATTCCTTTATGACAAAATTAATGAAGACTTTGCATTTCTTTATTCATACACTGCATTAAGAGTGATGTGAACAGTGGAGTATGTGATTGTGTATCCTAGTCTGAAACTTTAAATCTGCAATTACAGTCAAATCTGGTTGAGTGACCACCTGCCTACAAAGACCATATTTTATGTTTCCCTCGAAAATGGTTTCTCATTTGAAACGTGTACTAAAGGATCCCCGTCTACAAAAACCTCTTTTTGTGTTTCCCTTGGGCGGCCGCTATAAGACAGGTTTTTGACTGTTCCGGTATAGTGAAAGATCAATTAGAGATGCAGGTACATGTACTAAATGTGCATTTCTGATTGAATAAAATCCCTGTTGGTGTTACTGTGAGGGATAACGCGTGATCATCGGCATTCAAAAATGAAAAAAAAATAGCCGGATATTATCATATAACCCTATTTTGGATATTTTCAAAGCTTAAATTTAATTTCCCCCCCCCCCCCCATTTTCAGCATTAAGAAAAGGTCGCTGAACAGTGAAGTAATGAATATTCATCAGATCAATAAGAAAATGTCATGTTGTTTCATTGGAATGTGTTTGATGTCTTAGGGACTCGACTTGACTCGTATCAATATTTGTTTTCAATCATTATAGTCTATAATTAGAGGTGTTGTGGTCTAGTTGATAGTCAGCGGACTGTAGATCAAATGGTTCACTGTTCGAGTCCCGCCACGCCACTAATGTCCTTTGGCAAGGCATCAATCTAAATTAAATGGGTACCGGTATGAGCACCACTTGAAGGGTGCAAACGACACGAAAGAGAGAAAGAAAGGGGGAATCTTGTTTATAGGGAATGCTACTGATCAAGTTTTCTATAATGGAGAACTTTCTATTTGTGAGTTTTTAGGTGGAATTTGTGCTGTGCCAAGGCATCAATCTTAGGTGGACATATCGGTGATAACACAAAATGATACTGTGTTCTAGCAATAAATGTCAAGCTACGGAATTGCGTAAACCATGAATGAATCACACTTTAGATTTATATATCTTTTTTTTACAAAGAGTGCTTTTATTTTACAAATAAGCAGGAATATGCATGCTTTACATCATCACTATTCACAATGTAGATTATTACATGAATGATGTTCCATGTACAACATTTGGCAATATCTATGATACACAGTAGATTTACAAAATCCTAAAGTGAATGTCTTTCAGATTTATGACAAAAATGGAAGAAGTGACCGTATTCCCATCATGCCATTACTTGAACAATATTGGCTCTTTCATGCTTTGTTTGGATCGAAGGTGGTTCACTATTCTATTCCAAGTAAAATGGTTTGTGAATCCAATGACTGACAAATTAATGTACCTTTACGCACTTTGCTCAGTTAATTATATCTGGGGAAAAGTGTTTCATAAACATGTTGAAAGGCATGCATTGTCTCCCCTACATTCTATCATTAGAAAAAGGATCACTTTTTGAACATTAATGCCATATTTCAATTGGTTACAGGTCTCAGCACAACCCTGGAATTTTGCATTGAAACTATCACTAAAACCATATGGGAGAAGTAAACTGAATCAAAATTGGTTGAGAAATAACGAAGAAGCATTTTCATATACAATGGCACTAGTGCACTTCACTACCTATTTTTATGTAAATTGACCCTTAAGACTTTTAGACAAGCTACATCTTTATTTAGTCAGTCTACAATATATATTCCCAGGATCACGCAAAATGATTCTAGGAATTAAAACAAATATTTCAGAAGCAGGATGGACAGATATGCCATTGCAAGATGATAAATTTAGGTAAAATTCATTATCATGTGAGCATTTGAAAGCTACATTTCGATTTTGCAAAGACAAGCATATTATGTCTTCAGATAAATTCTGTTATGCACAGTTCAGGAATGTTCACATGAAAGATGACATTTCAAGCCTTGTAAATTCAATTGAATAAATTGAACCATTTCCAGTATTTAAATTCACTGATTGAACCAACAGCTTTTGCATTAGTAATAATTTGTTGCAAACTTTCGATATCATGAAATTAGCCTCAAAGGGCCTCCAGAAACACAATTATAAAACGAGCTGAAGTGTGCACCTGGTAAGATTCCATCTACTATCAAGGGAGATTTACGTGGTACAATCGCATTTTTAGAAGGTACCCTTTGATGAATTGATAGTAGTTTACTTGGTAGGATCCCATCTTTAGAAGGTACCCTTTGATGAATTGATAGAGGTTTACTAGGTACAATCCCATCTTTAGAAGGTACACTTGAATAAATTGATTGTAGTTTACATGGTACAATCCCAGCTTTAGAAGGTACCCTTTGATGAATTGATAGTAGTCTACTTGGTGTGATCCATCTTTAGAAGGTAGTTTACTTGGTACAGTCCCATCTTTAGAAGGTACCCTTTGATGAATTGATAGTCATCACCAGAAGGTACCCTTTGATGAATTGATAGTAGTCTACTTGGTGCGATCCTATCTTTAGAAGGTACCCTTTGAAGAATTGATAGAGGTTTACTTGGTGCGATCCCAGCTTTAGAAGGTACCCCTTTGATGAATCGATAGAGGTTTACTTGGTACGATCCCGTCTTTAGAAGGTACCCTGTGATGAATTGATAGTAGTCTATTTGGTGCGATCCCATCTCCAGATGGTACCATCATCACATGCAGCAAGGAGGATGTTACCGCTGGGATTGAGAGCTGTCTGGCGGATGGCTGATACACACTTCGGATGAGTAAATGTGGCGCATCTGTAGAAATATCAACAAGATAATAAATCATGAGACTTTGGAATATAAATCATTTAAAACATTCAGTTCAAGAATTTCTTTACTAGAGAGAGAGAGAGAGAGAGAGAGAGGCAGAAAGAGAGAGAGAGAGAGTATGTGTGGGATTATAAGAGTAAATATTACATGAGAGAGAGGGAGAGAGAGAGAGAAAAGTCAGGGGAGTGCACAAAATTAAGAAATCGATGGAGAGAGAAGGGGAGATCATAAAGACAAGGGCAGGAGAGACAGGAAAAGATGGGACAGAACTAGAACAGAGGAGAGAAGGAGAGAGAGAGAGAGAGGGAGTGAGAGAGAAAAGGAGAGTGAGAGAGTGTATGAGGTGGGGTTGTGAGAGTAAATGTGGCATGGGAGAGATAGAGAGAGAGAAAAGTCAGGAGAGTGGACAAAATTAAGAAATCGATGGAGAGAGAGGGGGAGATCGTAAAGACAAGGGTAGGAGAGACAGGAAAAGATGGACAGAACTAGAACAGAGGAGAGAAGGAGAGAGAGAGAGAGAGAAAAGGAGAGTGAGAGAGTGTATGAGGTGGGGTTGTGAGAGTAAATGTGGCATTAGAGAGATAGAGAGAGAGAAAAGTCAGGAGAGTGGACAAAATTGAGAAATCGATGGAGAGAGAGGGGGAGATCATAAAGACAAGGGCAGGAGAGACAGGAAAAGATGGACAGAACTAGAAAATGAGAGAAGGAGGGAGAGAGAGAGAGAGAGAGAGAGAGATCATTTAATTCTTACTTTGGTTTGATGCAGTCTTCCATCTCGAGATCCCATACAAATATCTTGCCGACCTGGTTACCAAGGGCTAGCATCTGGAGGAAAAAATAATCAAGAGATAACCTTTAGTAAACATGGATCTCAATGCCTAATGTACAGATGCAAGCTGATCAAATAAAGAGTAATTGAAATAAAAGAACATTTCTTCATAATGGATTTTGTTTTTATTTTGAGATACTTGCACTCACGAATACACTTTTATCCATAACAAAATTTGAATAATTTTTCTTACCATTTTCCATGAAATGATCGTGACAACATGATTTATTCTTGATAGATAAAGTGTGCAGCTTCTCAGAACTTTGTTGATCAATCCGTACAGTTGTAGGGATTGGTCAATAAAGCTTTGCATGAGTAGATATCAACTTTATCAGTCAAGAATAATCATATTGTCAAAATCATTTCATGAGAAGAGGTACAGAAAACCTATTACAAATTTCTAGGCAACAAAGTAGGAAGAGAATGTTACCTTCTGTCTGTAATCCATGCTGAACCTCATGAACCAGATATCACACTGTGTGTAGTTGAACCGGGTCAAGACGGTGACCTCTGACATGGACGGCTTGATCATCTCTACAGGGTCATGAATGCCACCAGGTTTCCAGCAGACGATGCAATTCTCACATGACTGTGGGATGAGAAACATTCATGTACAGTTAACAACTGTGGGGGCCCTAATTATAGGCGATCTGCTTCTTTTTGAGGTCCTGACCATAAATTTGTACTTTGTATGCTTTATGAACTCTATTTTCTAATGTATGTTTTGCTTTTACATGTACCTGTATATATGGTTTAATAAATTAAATTCAACTAAGTTATTCATACCCTTACCAAGTATTTTTATTTTAGATGTATGTGAAAAATCAATTTGGCCAGTTTTATGTTTCTTAAAAATATGACATATTAAAGCTTACATCTAAGAGTATTCAACAAAGGCTCTAAATTCAACCAGTCTACGTGTCTATCTGTTAAAAACATCAAATTTACAAGGGGTATGAATAATTTAGTTGTTAACTGTAGTTAGGAAAGGTCATGGATGCTTAGAAAAGAGAAAAATATATTTTTTCATCCATAGTTATATTTTCTTCCACTTTACAAGGCTAAAAAATGAAAACCATTTGATATGCAATGATTCCTCTTTATTTCATAATCAGCAATGTATAATTACTTCTAGATATTTTCTTTCAAAGTGCAATAGTACTCCCACTGTTCAACGTTACTCTCATCCATGCTCTACTGAAAGGCACTAGCCTGTCACCATGGTTTCTAATTAAATCATTTCCAGTTCCAAGACCACTGTTCTGACAACTTACCTACACATATTGAGCATTCACTATTTGAATAATGCTCATATATAATATCATAATAATTTTTCGGAAAATCACTAATTAGTAAACAAAATGAATATAGATAATTTAAAACAAGCAATGTTGGATGTAGATTACCTTAGAGAGTACAAAGTCGCCCAGCCAGCGTACACAATCAACATAGTTCCTATGAATGTCACGAGTTGTGAAGTCGGGTGTATTCACGTACAAAGACTTGAAAGGCCTGGGAAAGCACACACATAGAATCAAAGTATTAGGAGCGTTATAAATGTGATCTATTATTATTATTATTATTTTAAAGAAATTTACCATCAAGGAGTAGTTTGCCGTGAAATTCACTAACTTCACCAATTTACAAGTGTTTCAACTTGGGAAACTGAATTTATAGCATGCATTGTCCACATAAACTACTTATGGCATTTTGCTAGTGAAATATACATCTCCCCAAAATAAATTGCATCCTCTTCAATCAATCGTAACTTTACAATAAGTTGTGTCAGACAATTTATCTCATGTTGCAGATAGGTAAAATGTTTGGTTAGATTCAATTAATTGCATCAAAAATTGGAGACAATACAATTTTAGGATTGACTGTTGGTCAATTTTCATGTTACAGGGCCAAGGGCTTATTACGGTGAAACCTGCTCCAACAACCACCTTGTCTACAAAGAAAGATCACATTTTTTGTTTCCCTTGAAAATGGGTTCTCACTGAAACACATGTTCTAAAGGAAACTTTACATAAAGACCTGCGTATGAAGATCACTTTCTTGACTACCAAGGGTGATCTTTATACACAGGTTTCACTGTACTCACTTGTTAGTCTTGGATGCAATGTATGCATGTGATGCTTTCATGGCTCGTTGAATGTTATCTTTCTCCAGGTTCCAGATCTTCAGTGAATGATCCATACCACATGATGCTATCCGCAAACCATCAATGTCAAAGTCCTAACAAAAATAACAAAAAAGTACAGAGTTCTCTACTTATTTTATGTGAGAAAATAATATGAAATGAAGAAAAATACTATAGACTTTAAGAAATTCTTCAACCAGGTACAATTAATATATCAGTTGAGAGAGACAACGATATACACAAAATTACTTGTCTCAGGGCAAACATTGACATTTTGGCATTTGGGTTAGAATGTGACAGAAATGAATCACTAAAAATACAAAGGTAACCTCATAGACTTATTATTGATCACATTTAGTTCCAATCTGTTTGTGATTATCCAATCATCTCCTATTTACTCCAATATTTTTTCTGTTCTTAGAAAAGTTCACTGTAAACCATTTTATACAAAACACTAACGACACATACATGTAACTGAAGTCATATATGAATATTTTGGTTCTCATTTGTGCAGAGTTCGATCGATGTCACATTTTATTCCATTAATTATCTTCAGTCTAAGAGGGCAGTTCCTTAGCTAAACTTGAATCACAACTTAAAAGGAATGCTTACCCCAGACAACACTTCATCTCGATGACCTTCGACCCCACCAAAGATGGCTACTAATGTATCTGTTTTCAGGTTCCATAACCTGACTGAATGATCTGTGTGTGACAAACAAAGAGCATTGTCAAATGACTATACAAGGTGGTATTTTGGTACATTACAAAAATGGCCTATTCCAAATGAAGCAATGGCAAGGCACATGCAGTTCCAAAGCCTCGGAGGCTAGGATCTTCATAAGGCAAATACTGTGAGACAAAAATGTTTTTTTATAGTCATTATTTGACATGAATCAATTATTAAAGACCCTATACGAAGTGAAGATTGAAATAGATGAATTATATATAAAAGGAAAGCTTACAAGCCGTAGATTACAATAATACCAATAATTTGCTACTTCAGTGCTTGTCAGACAAGTAACAGCTTTCTGAAAAATCGAAATCTAAAGCTTTGAAAATCGAGAGTTGTTGACCTAAAAACTAGCTATCGAATTGATGACATCATATGTGGGGTGCGCATATTCACAATGACTTTGCATTAATTAAGCATGGCTCATCCCCTCAGCTATATAGGCGAGCTGATCAGGTGCACATGTTATGTCGTCAATGTAACTGCAGCAAATTTGACCCCTGTCGACATGTTATTTGGAGGGGTGCAGAAAATGAGGTTTTGATTTGCTTTTGTGCAATACTGAAAAAGAAAATACTTTGTATTAATACGTTCATTCAGTTTTCCACTTATACAAAGATAGGGTGACAGGGTCTTTAAACATTATTTACCTTTGCTGACTGATAGAAGTAGGTTGGAGTCATGTGGGTGTGTCTTCAATTCATTCACAGCATTGCCGTGGGCGATGAAATGCTGAAATGAAAAAACCGTATCATAAAATCAACCAAATTTCTGGAGGCGTGGTCGGTAGAGCAGTGGTCTCGTAATCCGGTGACCCGGGTTCGAAACCAATTAGATGCGCCAGTGCCCTTTGGTAAGGCATTAATCCTCATTACATAACCAGGTCCCTCGGGGAGGACCTAAAGCCGTGCCTGGTTGGTGGTCTGGTTACTTACTAATAAGCATTTATGCTTTCTTAGCAGTCAGATAAAATAACCACCACCACCACCACCACTAATGCTAAACAATTAGATAGTGATTTGGGCCCTTATGAATATATCATTCATACACTGCATGCAAATACAGGTACAGTATCACAGTGGAAAAGTAAAACAAAAAATGAAAAAGAAATTAAAAATTACATAATTGGTCTAATATGACAATGAAGTATTAAAGCCCTGGCAGGAATGTATTCCTTAAAATGCTAGAGCGCCATTATAGCATCCATGCTAAAGCTGGGGTATTATTCACCAACAGGACATAGCTCGCAATGTTTTTTAATATCCATTTGTGCACTTTACTGATGTTTAAATCTACTAAACTTATTCATCTATTAAGCTAGTAATCTACATTGTAGGCAAATACATATGGTGATTCACTTGAACAAATTGAGTAAACAGAACAAAATTCAAGAATTTTGACGCATATTAAAAATAAGAAATAACCGAATAAGAATTTAATTCATCAATAAATGAATGTAAGAATATAGGGAGGTATCACTATAATGCATGAAATAAAGTAAATCATTTTATTTTGAACCCCTTGTAAAGATAGAAAAGTGTCCATAAATTTATATACCCTCCAAATTAGACAATCAATTTCATTCTCAAACAAGCAAGTAAAACAACTAAGATTTTTACCCTAATACACTGTAGTGTTATTGGGCTGATGATTCGGATGACTCCTCTCGAACCAGCAACGGCCAAAAGAGGGAGCCCTGTCGTTTCTTCATACGTCCATGCACATGTGTAGAAGTTTTCATCAGACTAAGATCTCAAAGTTAAAGAAATGCACCTTTGAATAGCACAATATTTTAGTTTCAAGTTCAAATAATCATTATGCTATGTTTTCTAGGGCAAAATGAGAAATTAACAGCTCTTTTTCACCTGTGGCTACCTTACGGTGAGTATAAATAAGAATGACCCAGCTTTCAAATACAGTCTTTAATAGCAAGCCATTGGAACAGAAAAAAATCATGAAAATCTTCATTTCAAAATAACTTCAAATAACATTATATATCAGCATGGCATGTTTTGTGTTCCACATCTAACCAAGGCAAGGTGAACAGATGAATGAACATCATCATATTCTGGTTATCTTGATCAATTATTTCCTTAAATTATAAAAGAAGTCAAATATGAATCAACAAATATATTGTTCTCCTACTCAATTTACGGCAGAAGGCTGGATAATAAATATCAAAATTATCATGTTTTACAATATAAAAAAGACCTTTTGCCGAGACGCCAAGTTCAAAGATCGGCAATGCGTGACATTTTCATGATTCGGCGTGCAAGCACGCGTGCGAGGGTATAACACACGTATAAGGTATAGCGTTTTTTCAAAATCTAGCACGCGCGTCGTGCGTAAGAGCATTTTCAGACCCTCGAAATGAGTGATGTCACGCCTAATGCGTAATACTTGGTAGCTCTGCTTTTGACAGCAAAAAGCTAATATAAAATTGATGAAAAATTATAGAGTAATGGAATTTCTCCTACTACAGTGGAAAAGAAAGGATACATCAGCGTCAACATAGCTCTGTAATAGCTTAATCTTGCCATCATCCTGAAGCTCGTAGATTGAAACACGGTTACTACCAACTGAACAGAAGACATTAGGATCACTTTCCTTCCGATACGGGTTGAAGATAACTCCAAATATAGGCTGACCATGGTCCTCCTGGGGAGACAAAAATATAATGATAATAATAATAACAAATTAAAACATTTTTTTTTTTAAACTCACACTTAGTTGATTTCGCCAGCTCTGTATAGTCACGCCTTTGCATGGGCAATTTATGCAAAACAATGGGCAACAATTAACTTGTCAAACAAAATGGTATTGCAAAATTACCCAATCCCTAGCCTTGATTGGCTTCATGATAACCCTTTTAATACCATTATAGATTAGTCTTGCACTGAAAACGGTTAAATGATATTGAAGTCTTTGGTAGGCCTATATCTATCCCATGATAATAAATGCAATATGGCCAGGGAAAAAAATACACAGGGCTCAGGGCGTATTAGCTCCCGAAATGCCCCAAAGAGCCCCCGAAAGTCTTAAAAGAGCTCCCAAATTTTGCATAGAGTTCAACGCAAAACAATTTAAAGAGTGTTATTTTCATGAAAAGTAGCCCCCAAAATTTTCAAAGTAATTTTTTCCCTGAATATGGCACAGGGAGATTATTTGTGTGGCATACAAAAGAGTTGATTTTCAGGATTGAATCTCTGCATATTGTAAGCAACAACATATCACTTGTATTTTTGGAAAATGAAATGTGTATTCCCTGTTTGTGTTCCGAAGTATCTTGATAGTCTAAAGTAGGTAAACAATTGTCTTCACATGGCATGATTTATCAAAGGCAGTGTTATGTGCCTTTGACATTGAAAGTGCAACATGAAGCTTGGCATGTATGACTTCTATTATATCAGCAACATTTTCATACATTAGTTTTTATGTAATTGTCTATTCTCTAATGAACTCTTTCGAAATGGATTTTCTTAAAGGCCCACTGCACAACTTGTAGCTACTTGCGCCCTCTTACAACAAACAATGCCTAATCGGTGACCATTGGTGCCCCATGATCCTCTTTTTCTTATGTTAACTGAGAGCTGAGTTGATGAGATAACCACCTGTCCAGTGACCTTGCAGGGCGCTCTAATCCCTCCTGTAAACTATGGCAGATAAGCTTTAAAACTTCAGGCAAGTGAATTTTTCATGGAATAGTGTCATCTTTGAAAAAGTATAGTGTTCCCTTTGAGACGGATAGACACATGCACTTGCAGAGGAATGCACCCACCCTCCCCCCTTAAAAAAAACAAGACAGAGATAAACAGACAGAAAGGAGGAGAGACACATAGACTGAATAGATTGACAAAAGACTGACAGACTGAGAAACAGATGTTTACCTTGACATAACAGCTATACTTGAACTGCCATTTGCATTTCTTAGATTTCCACCTTCCTCTTGCCCATCTCTTGGCTACAAGTGCTTGATCTGAGCCAGCAGCAGTCACCATGCTTGTAGGGGTTTCTGATCGAGAGTTTGTACTGTCGAGTGATTGACTCGTAGTCTCACTCTTACTATCATCAATGTCCATCATCTGTAAAGAATAAAATGCCAGTTACATCATAATTTCCAAAGCGCATAGAGACGTTATAATGTGATATACTGATGTGCTATTCAAGAACCAAATATTATTTTCTCTAGACTCAGTATAGTTTAGTTTTCTCTTTGCACTGGGTTTATTTTTTGCATACATTTTTATATCAGTTTGCTTAAATTGTATTTGTAGAAATATTAAAGCATACCTAAGGTTCAGAAGAAATTTTAAAACATATTTATTTTGCCCTTTGTAAAATCTTACAATTCTGATCCATTTCCACTGGACTGGACAAAATGATGAATGTCTGCTATTGAATCCAAAAGAAGTCATACTCATGTACTCATACCGACGGTCACTATTAGGCCATGTAAAATTGATTTCATGTTGATCGTCCCCGCCCGCTTCCTTTTTGGGGGCCGCCTCCTATTTTTTGTTATTTGTTATTTTTTTTTATTTTTGATTTTTTTATTTAAAAAAATTTTTTTTTTTGATTTTTTTTTTTTTTGAAAGAAAAAAAACATGAAAAACACTGCTAAAATGGCTCTATTTCTGATTTAAAAAAAAAAAATTGTCGGCGGCCATCTTGAAAAAAAATAGCCTCGACTGTCGGGGAAAATGTACCGAGCGGCCATTTTGAGCGGCCATTTTGAAATATCAAATATCAAATAACATGGTACACCCTCCTCCTCTTTTTCAAAAAATCCGGACGATCAACATGTAATCAATTTTACATGGCCTTACAGTCATAGAGACAGCGCCAGTGGCAGTGTGAAAGTAAAAGTGAAAGGCCCCCCCACCCCCACCCCCCCCCCCCCCCCCTTGAGCAAAAATTTGCATACGATGGGGGGGGGGGGGGGTAGCTAGTGAGCACTAAAAATGAAATTGGTTCTTATATTTGTTTTTTTACTCAACACCCCCCCCCCCCCCCCTCCCTTGCATGGGCAAAACAAAATTTGCATACAATACGGTACGCTGCGCTGGTTCGTCCTAACACTTATCAAACAAACCATAATGAAACAAACGCGTAGAGGGCTACTTAATCATTCATTTTTATTATGATGCGGAAGATTTTTCATTGTACATGTGATGTGGGAGGGAATTTTTTTTCACAAACCGGGAGATTCTACATTTGTGCGAGAGTGGGAGGAAGGGCGTACGCGTGGTGGTGGGAGTCTCGATCCCAAGTAGGAGTACGAGCTGGCCAATCAAGCCTGGTGCCAGTGCTGTGGCGGGATATCGCGCGGCGGGAGAATGAACGTGGACGTGGTGGCGTGAGACAATACGGGACGGTTGAAAGCCCTGGAGATATTTTTTGATTCCTTGTTTTAATCTTTGACTCAAGTTAGCATGGTAAGGATGCGCACACTCCCATACCCATAATATGCCTTGAGTAAAAGATCTATACAATTTTGAATGAGCACTAGCACCTAGCAGAGAGAGAGAGAGCCACGGCTCCAGCACCGCGCTCCCCACTTGGCCATTGGCTAGCTGCATACTGCACTTGACGCTGTTTGGGCTGCCACTGAAAAAGAAAGAGGATCTGAGGATTCAGTTTGCGATGTTAAAATTCCAATATTTTAGTCCTTTAAATTTTATACTGATGACAGACATTACTCACCATTGTTTCGCTGATGCCTGTGGTCACAGAAACAGACGTCTGATCTTCTTTTGTTGCTTGTAATGTTAGTTTGTTTGGGATCAGTCCGTCCGGACCGACGTTTGAAACACCCGCTTTGTTTATGTCAGCCATCGATCTCGCTAAATCTCTGCAACATGTGCGTGAACTCGTCCCTAGCTCGATCGTGTATTCTGCCAGTAAAATTCGCCCATTCGCCCATTTTGCTGTTTTTAGAACAAAGTTTTATAAAATTTACAAAAACTGATGATATGAGGCACGGATCATGTGCTCCTTTCTCCCATGGCAGATGTATGGGTCTTTTTGGAGGAGCACGCTGGTATCCTCTTTTAAAAACAAATGTGGCATATCAGAGGACTGCAAACACAATTAATTAAAGGAAATCTGTGCCCCTTTTTCTGACCTAAAAAGTAAAATTACACCCCAAAATTTGATTAGGCCTACACAGGCGCGTACGCAGGGGGGGGGGTTTGGGGGGTTAAACCCCCCCCTTTGGAAATTTTTTGTGTGTAAACCCCCCTAAAAAAAACCTAAAACCCCCCCCCTTTTGGATTTTTTTTTTTTTTTTTTTTTTTTTTTTTTAATTATTAAAAAAAAAAAAAAAAAAAAAAAAATTATTCCCATGGCCGACCTAAAAAAGGTGACCTTACCCCCCCCCAACGGAGCAAAATGTCAAATTTCCAAATTTCGAGACCAAAAAAAAAAAAAAAAAGTGTCCTCTTACCCCCCCCCCCCCCCCCCCCCCCCCCCCCCCGCTTATTCAGCGGTCGGCTGAGTCGTTGCGATTTTTTTGGGACCAAAAAAAAAAAAAAATGTGTCCTCTTACCCCCCCCCCCCCCGCTTATTCAGCGGTCGGCTGAGTCGTTGCGATTTTTTTGGGACCAAAAAAAAAAAAAAATGTGTCCTCTTACCCCCCCCCCCCCCCGCTTATTCAGCGGCTGGCTGAGTCGTTGCGAAATTTTCGGACCGATTTATAAATGTTAAAACCCCCCCCTTGAAAAAATCCTGCGTACGCGCCTGGGCCTACATACCTTTTATCCAGTAGACCCTACGTTGTTCTTTTTTCTTTGTCTTTCTTTCATTTGCTTACGTGCTTGTTAAATTAATCTTGTTGAAAAACATATTCCTCCTTTCTTCACTTTCAGTACACACAGTGGCGTTTTGAGCAAACCCTTATCTCTCTTTTTTTTTTTTTTTTTTTTTTTTTTTTTGGGGGGGGGGGGAGGAAGGGCAATATTTCTAAACCACTGGTATCGTGTTTGAATTTTTTTCGGGGGGGGGGGGGGACTGCTCGCAAATGGTTCAGCATTGTAAAAGCATCAATATTGAACACGTTTATTTTATTCAATTGTATGTTATGGTTTGTATTGCACATATGGAGAAATAAAACAAAATTGTTAAACAAATTTTTTTTTTAATTGTCACATAACCCAGATACACCCTCCCCCCGCCCCCCACAAAAAAAAAGGTGAACCGAAAAAAGGATAAAATGAGACACTTCTTGCACCTGGAAAGAGGCACTCACCAGGGATAAAAATGGGCAAGAATATGAGAATGGAAAATGGGCATTTGTTGACGGAAATAAGGCACCCATCAGATTTTGATAGGGGCATTTATAAGAGGTGAAAATGGGCACGTATACGGGGCACTGACCAGATATGAAAAGGAGCACTTATGAGAATATAAAAGGGGCACTTATATTGAAGGAAAATTTACATTAAAAAAAAAGGGGGGGGGGGCACCGATCAAATCTTAATGAGGGCATTTATCGGATGTGTAAGGGCACTTTTATGAGAAGGGGAAAGTAGCTTTCATTAAAAAGAAAAATAGTCAGCTGTCATAATAAACGGGGCACATATCAGAGATGAAAAGGGTGAAGGGGCACTTATATAAGGAGGAAAAAGAGCATTTATTAGAAAAGAAAAGGGGCACGTTTCAAAATAAAGGGGCAGTTATTAAAGGTGAAAAGGGGTACTCAGAGATGAGTACATCAGACATGAAAAGAGCAATTAGTGAAGTGAACATGAAGGGGGCACTTATCTGAAGTATCTGAAAAGTAGTAACTTCTTGTACTTGAAAAGGGCCATTTACCATAGATGAAAAGGGGTACTTATAAGAAAGAAAAGGGACACAAGTTTAATTGGTGAAAAGGGGCATTTATGAGAAGGGGAAGGCGCTCTTATTTGTTTATGGGGGCACTTATCTTACGGAAAAGGGGCACATGTTAAAATTGAGGGTGCGCTTATCTTATCTTATCTGAGTTAAAAGGGGGAAGGGGCACTTGTAAAAGTAAAAGGGGCACATCTCAGATTTGACATGGTCAATTAACAGAGGTGAAGGGGCACTAATCAAAAGTGAAAAGGGGCACTTCTCGTTCCTGAAACGGGGCACTTACTAGAGATTGATAAAGGCACTTATGAGAATGGAAATATTGACAAAAATTATTATTGTAGAGGAAGAAATTAGGAAAAATGTCGAAGGAAAATTTAGGGGCATGTGTCAAAAAAGGGGCACTTATCAGTGGTGAAAAGGGGGCATTTCTATAATAGAATAGGGGCACTATTAAAGTAAAAGGGGTCCTTTGTGTATATAAAAAGGGGCACTTTGGGGGTACTGGAAAAAGTGGGGGAGGGGGGCACTTCAAATTACACCTCTTGCACTGCACGTAAATGTCTAGTCTGCTATAACAGACCCAAACTTGACAGTTTATTATAATTCAAAGATTTTAGTTAGTGGAGCCCTGGAGCCTAGCTCTGTCAGTCTCTGGCTGTGTCAGATTAGAATCGACTAAATTTCAGCGCCTATGGTGTAAATTAGACCAGCATATTCCTCACAGAGCACTGAACTGAGCAGACACTTTCTTACTCACAACGACTGACAAAACGTACAAGGGCTTGTGCTTGCAGACTACTAGCTGTACGCAAACGTAACGTAACAAACTAGATGCATGATGTCATAACTTTCGTGCTGAGCTAGCTGCTGACGTGAGAGGAACTTGACTTGAGCTGAACGGTGTTACTGTTCTTAGTTTTCCATAATATCTATGGATAGTTAGATCTACCGATCTTTCCATCGATTATTCAACACATGACGAAATTGTTCCCTCTGTATTCATCTCGATAGAATGACTGAAAACCGAATAATTTGACAGAGAACCGAGAAGTGAACAAAATGGATGCAGTGAACGGAGAATCGAGTGAAAGGCAACGCACATCACGGCAGTCGACGGGAGAGTTTCAATACAGTGAACTGCCCGTAGCACTCATTGCTACCAACGTCAGCGAATGTGTGTTTACAGATGACAAAGAAAGGGTAAATGGTAGTTGTAACGTAAATTGTAAACATAACAAGATTGTGAAGAAAAGTGCAAAAAGTTCAGGGAAAGATGTTATTTTTGTAGAGATTTTTCATTTTTCAGTATTTTTGTTGTTGCAATGAATGTTGGTGTTAACTGTTATTAATGTTACTGTTAGATTGAAAATTTCTGTCTCTTTCGTTTGTTAGCCTCTGATTTGGGTTGGGTCGGCTCATCTCTTCGAGAGAGGAGCTGACTCTACTCTACGCAAATCAGAGGCTAACCAACGAACAAAAGAGACAGAAATGTTGGTGTGTGCGCAACAGGGGTGATAGTGAGCACTACAAAAAAAATAGGTTTTTTGTTTTTCCCTCAACCACGCCCCCCTTGAGTAAAAAAAAAAAAGAGGATTCGCGGGGAAAAAATGGCATTTAACATTCCCCCTTTCGAGTAAGAAAATTGGGACAAAATTGGGGGAAAAATAGGGCAAGATTGGGAAGAATAGAGAAAATAATAGGGAAATCGGGAAAATCAGGATAAAATAGAGAAGAAAAAAAAAATTGGTAAAAAAAAAAAAAAAAAAAAGAAAATCTGGATTTTTTTTTTTTTTTTTTTTTTAAATCGGGAAAAAAAAAAAAAATCGGGAAAAAATCGGGAAAAATAAAAAAAATCGGGAAACCGATTTAAATCGGGTTTTTATCAGGCCTGGCGCAATCCAGAAAAGAGGGGAGGGGGGGGGTGGGGGGTGCCGTAGTGATATCCATTTTTGACCCGTAACTCAGGAATGGAGATGCCCTACTAAAACGTACCCCCAAAAACCGAAAATACTCTAAAGAGCTAAGAAAATTGACATGAAACAGGTAAGAAACATAACAACTTTTAAATCATGACCATTATTTGAACAATTGATGAAGATTTAGTTGATTTTGGGTAGACCTATGTTTCAGTATGTTTTCTCCACGCCGGAGTTATGGGTCACAAATGGATACAAAAGTACACTATTTAAACATATTTGTGGCTTGCACCCAGTAAATAAGATCGGTTGATCGATCTGTATTGAAAAACAAGTCAGAAAAAATCTTGGAACCAGCGGGACTTGAACCTGCATCTACTGCTTGCCGGGCAGCGACTCTACCACCAGGCCATCACAGGTCCATGGCACAATCAGGATGAACTAGAAACAAATACCGAAGCTCTCCTGATTTATTCTGACTTATTAATATTCATTAGTCCGCCATAGGACAATAACTTTTATAAGTGTAATGCTTCCTGGGAGAAATTTCAATTATTCTTCTTCTTCTTCTTCCAGTATAGTACAGTCCGCCGTTGGCGTATTATCGTACCTTATTTATTTATTATTTAAACATATTTGTGGCTTATACCCAGTAAATAAGATCGATTGATCGATATTGAAAGCTTCAGAGCTTTGGAGAGCTTTGGTATTTGTTTCTAGTTCATCCATGACTGTGCCATGGACCAGTGATGGCCTGGTGGTAGAGTCGCTGCCCGGCAAGCAGTAGATGCAGGTTCATGTCCCACTGGTTCCAAGATTTACTCTGACTTGTTTTTCAATACAGATCGATCAATCCTTTACCTTTACCCAAGATTCTGGAAGAATGCTGTGTTCTCAGCAGTCGGGCTTCCAGTTCAATTTTATTTTCTTTCTTCTCGTAGTTGGGTGTCTTCATCTTGGTAAGTTTGTCTGGCTCAGTTCTGCATCGGGTATTCTACTCATATGGGGAGCAGAAACGCTTGTCCTTCCATACTCGATAATGTCTGGCTTTAAAGGCATTCACCGATCTTATTTACTGGGTGTAAGCCACAAATATGTTTAAATAATTGAAATTTCTCCCAGGAAGCATTACATTTATAAAAAGAAAGTACACTAGCGCCAAGAGGGCTAGGGGCGAATTTTAGCTTGATAGATTACAGACTCTAGCCCTTTTTTTAAATACCCAACATATCCAGTCATAACATATCAGGAAATTCTATCAATAGAAGCCATAGCATGATTTGATAATGTTTACATTTGATGTCTTTATCCAGGCTGCATTTGAGGAGATGTGTTCTGTGTATGGAGAGAGGGTTGAGTTCCACTACCTTCCCAGCTTTCGTCGTATCAGAGTGACCTACGGATCACCAGAAGAAGCCGTTGGAGCTAGGATAGCGTTACATTCCAAAGATATCTGTGGCTCCATTGTCAATTTCTATTTTGCACAGGTAATTGTCGCCACTTTTTTCAGCCACAAGCGCTCCTCATTATTTTTTTTCACTAACCAAATTCATAGATTTAACCCTGGACCCAAAACTGTACCTAACCCTAACCCTTTGACAAAATAAAGCCTGGAGCGCTCATCATAGGACTAAATGTTGCATCATCGATTAGACATTGTGTGGTGATTATTTAACAGAAAGTATGTTATATCAAGGTGATCTTTACCTCCTAGTTATGCATGAAATCTATCAATGATTTATTAGTTGGAATCGTGCAATTTCCTGAATGTAACATTTGAATCTAGTTATTTTATGTGGAGTGATTTTAGTGCATATAAACTATCAAACTATGAAAGCATGTGTAGATTTGATTTCATGGGGATTCATCAATGCCATGAAATTATTTGAGTCAGTGATCATCAATATTGATTACCGTATTATTATGATTTGAAAGATTAGAGTCTCTGAATCCAACTCCGGCCATACTTTAGGTAACGCTAAAGAGCTGAGCTCTATTCTCTCATCATCATTCTGTGAATGAAATCAGAAAATGAATTATGATAGCCTTCTCAGTTATTGTTTACTTTTATGACTATTTTCTTGTTTTTGTACCTGTAGACCAAGATATTGAAAGACAGCAACCCAAGCCTGGAGCTTCCTGAGCCGGTCAGACAGTTCTTGATATCCCCTCCAGCTTCTCCTCCTATCGGTTGGGAGCCTGTACCAGAGTCAGAACCCGTGATTGACTATGACCTTCTAGCTGCACTAGCCAATCTTGCACCAGGTAGATACAATATTTATAATTAACCGTATCAGACATCTGAGCAAGGCCATTTTTAAATTGTATTGTCCTCGAGGTTTAATTGATAAGCCAACAAAACCATGGGTGAAACAAATTTTATTGACCGCTCAAAAAAGTCAATGGGATTTGTGTGTAATTTGCCGGTCAATGTTATTAGACAGTTAACCAATGAACAAATATTATTGCCCAATCTGAAAAGTCAATGGCAAAATGCATGTTAAAATACTGTTTGCAGTGTATCAACATTTTTGTCAAGCACTATATGCACAGTGCTGGTTTGACAATGTTTTTTGCAACTTTTCATGCTAGGAAACCCTGTGCAGTGTAGGTTACTGTATTTTACATAATTTAAGAGCAAGATAGTAAGAGTTTCTTGTTTGCTCTAGATGTCTGATGTGGTTAATAACAGTAATATTGACTGCCTAATTCAGGACAATACGACTTGTCATTTATCACTCTCACCTTCGGTTCGGGCGATATGTATCATATTGCCCTGAACGCAGTCAATACTACTTAACTATGACATCAAACTTTTGCCATTCTGTTTCTCTTACTTTTCCACTTTCATACCAATGACAGAGATGCCAACTGTTCCGTTTTTGCCGTATTTGTTCTGTTTTGTCGCTATGAATTCGGCAGTACGTTTTTTGTATGTTTTGTTACCCAATCTTTCAAATTTAATTTTTTTTTTTTTTTCTTAATTTCTGATCATGGGCTTTGTGTCGTAAGTGTATTATGCCTTTACATCTTCAAACGATGCACGCAGGATGGTGATACGGGCCCCAAACTGCGCACATTGCGAACAACCCACGTGTAATGTATGCAAGTTGCGCTCCAATCCGCGTAGGTATACGTGGTACTGCCGGGTTTTTTAAGCTGCTCGATTGGGCGATATGTTAAGTTGAGAGATTTTTTCAAAAATACTGTTTTTTGCTCTTAAGAATACTTTTTTTTGTTGAAGAAGGTTGGCATCTCTGCAATGAACTCATTGGAAAGGTTGGATTGCCCTTCAATTACTATCTATATTTAGGTACATGTATTGTTTCATGATAATTGTTTATAGACAGTAGATAAAGGTACTTCCTTTGTGGCAAAGCAAGAGGTCATCTGTGACGTACTCGCAGTTCACTTCTAAATCCTGTTATTACATGGCCTATTTCTTTATGAACAAAAATAGCATTAGATGGTGACTACTGGCTGAATTGTTGTGGTTTATCCAGTACAAGGCCAAAGAGTTTATGTACAGTCAAATCTGCTTTAGTGGCCACCTCTCTGTAAATGCTGGGACCTGTCTATAGTGCTCACCCATATTGCCTCCCGAGAAAGAAATTTGTTTTGAAGAACCTGTCTAAAAAGGCCACCTGTCTACAGCGGCCACTTTTTGTAGACTGGTTTTTATGTTACACACATCTGTATGTTTGCCATGTAATGTCTAATAGTCATACATCTGCTAATTGAAGACCCCCCCCCCCCTCCTTTCACTGCCATAGTTTTGTTTCAATTTTTATTGATAGAACAAGACAGGTAGATAGATTTGACGTTTTGATTATAAACATTAGTTCTAAGAAAGCCTACCAATCAGGTGAAAATCTTAACAAGGAACCAACTCTATTTGTTTGTATAAACTCAAGGTGATAATCCCAACCTTTACTGTTTGCTCGTATACAGTATGTGATGATACATTACTGTGATACATGTACATGTACACATACTGTAAGAACACTTGAAAATAAGTTCTTTCTTCACAATCAGTAGAAAAATTACCCATTACGATTAAAGCTTTCACTAGGCCTGAAGAAGCAAGCAAAATCTTACCGAAACACATAATTTCGCCACTGATTGTGAAAAAAAATAAAAAATTTCAAGTTACATCACAGATCATATGATCATATGAGTAGGAATGCTATGATAGAAATGCCAAATTGCCAATATTGGAATGTTGTATGATTTTTTGTTTGTACATGTAAACAATGTGATGATACATTACTGTGAATCACTTTCTGTATTAGAGCAATGCTGATATTCAAATATTGTTTGAATGCTTGTTTGATTGCTCGTTTACAGGTGAGACTCACGAGCTCCACCCAGCCCAGGGTAACAAGCCAAGCATCGTAGTAGAGCCTTGCGATGATCCAAAAGCAAAACGGCCAGTCCCATCGAAGATCCAACAGACCAAGAGACCCGATCTTCCATGCTCATCATGATCATCACTCAAATCATCAGAGCTCAAGACTGGCTCGATTGATCTTATGTGTCTCGTAGCTGAATGACTCTTTATAGTCTGCATCAGAAATGAGGTTACTGCCTTGGTTGGTTCACACAGGAAGTGAATACTGTACTAGTAATTAAGATCAACTAAACGCTTGGCTTCCAGCTTAAGTTGAAGCTTACTTGTTCACTTGAATATTTTATATGACCAGGCAATTACAGCTTTAGAAGTTTATCTCTTCCAGCCTGAATCTGGGGTCCTACACGACCCATTTTTGGAGGGGGTTCGGATTTAACTTTTGAGAATCTGTTTGCTTGCGCTCTGTGTTAAGGATCTTGAAAGCTTGGCGATGTCGACTTTATTCGCATCTGTGTGTTCCGAACGCAGTTGGTGTCGAGCCGTGCTTAATCATTTCTGTTTGCTCAGTAGCAAGTGTACATGTATTTGATGTAGACAATTAGGGCTGATAATAGCTGCGTTTATAACTTGAGATAGAGAAAGCTAGAGAGAGAGCGAGAGAGAGAGAGAGAGAGAGAGAGAGTGAGAGAGAGAGAGAGAGAGGGAGCTGGGCTACAGAATTTGAAATTTAGTCACCTTTCCCTGACTCCACTAGAGTGAAACATATTACAAATAAACTGTTGATTGTCAAACAAATATTCAAGCGATAATACTAGGGCGTGAAGAAAGTGTGATGCAGTCTTACAACGAAGTTATGTTTGATTATATTTATTTATCAAGGATATATTAGTACTATTTAGCACTAAAGCCCACTGGATATATTATGTTCTTCTGTTTATGAGCTAGTTTGGAAGAATAGCAATATATTAAGATTTAGACAAGATAAATATTCATTGTTGAGGTTCTTTATGATCATAAATAGCGCAGGGCCTGGTGGGCTGTTGGTTGGAGTAAGGTCTATATAAGGACATCATTGACAGTCTTAAACCTGGTCCAACTCACTATGAGTTCGAGCTTCTAGGACTTTTCTTACAGTGGGAAGGCCTTCAGGAAGCCACTTTAGAGATAGGATCTAGGCAAGGGCCAATATAGGTCACTTGTACAAGACTGTAAAAAAACCCAGAGGGGGACGTTGGTTATGTGTTTAACTGTTCATGGAAGTTATGTAAGCGCTCATTTTTGCACCAATGATGCATTATATGATACGCAGGTGGAAATATTCTTTCAAAAAGGAAAACGACAAATAGGCTTTTCATGAAGCATCTCCGTCACTTTGGCAGTGATTATTTTACAATACACTACACAATTGGGACTTCTCCATGTTTAAAAGATATGTGGGTCATTTGAACATGTCTCCAAAGTCTTGACCTGGTTATAATTTTAATATTCATGTAACCATAAAGAATGTCATTCAGGTGTCTAAATTTTCATATTTATGATATTCTTTACCAATTTGGACTGCACTTCAAAAGGAAGCAATAGGTCATTGGATGTTGTAAATTGTTGTATAAAATTTGTATTTGTAGGTTAGATTAATGCAGATGCCAAATTATCAGTTTTCCTTCGTTGTTTTACCAAGAGTTGCCATTATAGAATCCTTGATTAATCTTAAATGATGTAGTGATCATATTATCAAACTTGTTTCTTTCAATGGAGAATGGAGGTGTATGTAGGGGAGAGCTACCATATATATATATATAACTGTATGTATATTTTTAAAGCACAAGATCAAATATCTTTGTATTTGACATCATTAGACTATTGTCATTAAAGTTTCATTTACTCACAATATGACAGGTTTTCAAATGATACCACCTCAGTTGACTGCATGGGTCAATGTTCTTTATGCTACTCATATTTGAGGCAATTTTAATGTTTCCTAAAACAGTTTTAATCTATATTCATGAATTATGCTTTACATACAGTAGATACCGAATCTGTGGATTTTCATTTAATGCATGCATTTGGATGAACAAAAATGGCCATTGTTAAAAAACCTATGATGTAATGTTATGAGTTTTTTGAGTTATTATGCAATGATTCCTGAGTCTTACATTTGATAGAAATCAGGTTGATACACTGTAACAAGGCATTTGTCTGATTTCAGGCCCTGACAACTTCCCATGTTGGGCTTTTTCAGGCTTTATATTGTACAGCACATATGGGGCTTTAACGTGTTCTGGCTTCTTTTCAGGCCCAGTGAGTAAAACTTACTGGCATCCCTGATATTGATGTATTTTAATCAATGTGTTTGAAGTACAAAATGTAATGTACACTGTAAAAAATGAATACATATTGATGAATTTTAATCAAGCCGTGGGACACGTTACGCAGCAAAACGACAATATTCAGCTTGTGATCTTGGCCTTGGTTTGAGAGGAGATATTATAAATATTTGTTAAATTAGATGTACAGTATTTATTCGAAGGAATATTAACATGACTTGTAAGGTTCAGATATAAACTGCATAGTAGTCCTCATGTACGGTGAAACCTGTCTATAAAGACCAACCGAGAGAGACTAGAAAAGTGGTTGTTATAGGAAGGTGGTCTTTATGTACAGGTTCCTTTAGTACATGTTTCAATGAGAAACCATTTTTAAGGGAAACAAAAAATGTGGTCTTTCTGTACAGGTGGTCACTAAAGCAGGTTTGACTGTATTATGTACTTTTTTTGTTGCTGCATTGTGGTGCTCATGTATTTTTTTAATGTAGTTCGCAGTCGTTTAGTCGCAACATGTTAAGTTACTTTTAAAATTGCATTTAAAGATATGCATGTCCCTTTTGTAGCCAACATCAAATTCTGTAGAACTTTGCAGGAATTACGAATATATGTCATGTATGTCCTATCTGTGAAATTTAAACGTTAACAGTGTCCTAATATTCAAATTATGCAAGGAAACCTGTTTACTTGCTAGACTTCACTGTCAGACATTATTGAGTGACTGACTGGCTTTTTTCATCTTTGGTAGTAACAAACATAAAATGAGCTGTAAAGGGTACATGCGCATTTGTCTACATCAATACCGGTAACCCACTTCTTGTAATGGCCAAAATTAAACTGATTTAATCTTTGCGCAGCACAAAACGTACGAACATTCAGTACAATGGTCTGAAAAATCAGACTATTACTTGGTTCTATAGCTCCTAAGTCAATTTGCAACTAATTGTCATTATTTTCCCACTTAATAACATTTGTAAACCCCCCTTTTTTTAGGGAAGTTTTAAATTAGTATTGTCTTTCAAATGCTGTTGGAATTTAACCTTTTCATTTTTTGGGCCTGCAAATGGGACATAGTACCTTTAAAGTAAGAAATTGACATCAATCATGGGCTTTTATGTGGAAAGCCACCCCACTTAGCCCAGTTCAGAAAATGTTAATGCAAAAACATCATTATATAATAGAATTTATTTGCTGAAAATAAGTATTTATTAGCTCAAAGTGTTCTGTTATTTTTCCTATTATGAATTAATTTACTTGATCTCATAGAGTAAAGAGTGATGGTTCATGAAGATTATGATGCCAGTATCATAGAAATTGTATCAACTTATAAACCAGTGATCACTAATTTGCTATAATAAGTAAAGAGGAGTCATTAAAAGAAATTATTCTCATACAAGACTCATCTTTACACGACTCAACTACTACCGGTTAATGTCATGAAAACGTTTTTGTTGGTTTCAGGTACTTTCAGGCAAAGTTCAGCTTTTGCAGCTTATTTCTCCCAAAGAGTGTAAGGGCTCGGTTCATAAATTTTATAAATCATCACTTTAAACAATGAGCACCTATGTGTTTGTATGTACATGTATGGATAATTTAATGAGTAAAGAAGTACCAAAATGGCTGTCTGTGATATTATGGATGCTAGAGTGTGTTGTTATCTCCCATTCGAGTGATTGTACTCGCTACTGTACAACAAATAAATGGGACTTGTGGTTATAGGGCTTGTTCTGATAAGCCGCACTCCCGGTAAACTGCCATTTTTCTTTGTTTTCATGTGTAAACGAATGGCAACTGCGCTCCACAAGGATCCTATGCGTATTCACTATGTTCTGTTTTTTTTTTATAAGATACAGAATTGTGAAGGGTAGTATACTTACGTCATCAACAAACACTGGTTTACCATGTGATACCTGAACAAGGCTCCATCATCATGAATTGTAATCAGGGGGGTGTTTCACAAAGATCCTAAGTTGAACTTATCTCTAAGTTGGACTTAACAGTTATGGAAAGCCATTAGCATCCTTGAAAATATTTTGTAAAAGTTATTTTATTAAAAGGCATCAAATATTGATTCAAATCATTCATATTTTCTATTATCATGGGAGATTTCATGTTCTTGATGTGGAATTTATGAAGTCTAAAATACTTGAATTTTTGCTTTTGAATATATTTCATTACAAGGCTACAAATGGCTCTCCATATTATTTAAGTCCAACTTAGAGTTTAGTATGACTTACAATCTTTGTGAAACACCCCCCTGGTATGTGAGTCATTTGTTTCAATTAATGTATGTTGAGGAACATGTTTCTGTGTCTTGTTATTTTGTATATATTTATTGTGCAATAAACATGTTCTACACACAATTGATGGTATTGTTTTATCTCAAGTCATTGTATGATCTGTGTTTAGGATGGTTTCTTTAGTAATAATTACCGTCATCATGCAGTACATGAAGAACGGCACAAATTGTTTGTTTACCAAAATGTTGTCCTTCTGTTAAAACCAAATTCAAACTAGAGTGAAATTCTGCATTAATTATTAAAATATAGAACTTCTCATATACATCAACAAGAAATTAGTGGAAGAAATGTATATTTTGCAATAGCCAATAATATGTGCTTTGATAGCTTAATTTTCGGCTTTGCGTTAGAATGCAAACTACAATTATAATTATCCTAATAATTCTTAAAGATTTGAAAGGTGCATTACTCAATTTAACAGTGATAAGTTTGCATGAAATCTTTTGGTTAAGAACGAAGACTAATAACAAAATTCCTGAAAGTTTGTCGAATAATCAATTAGATAAAGAAATATAAATATTCTCTTTCATTATAAATGATAGGTATTCTATTCATATAACTATGAATATTAAAGAGATCCTATCATACCCATAAATGCATTTTCACATGAAAATCCCTTTTACTACATGATCAATAATTTAGAATAACTTTTATCAATTTCTCTCAACCATTTAAAAGTTTTGAAGCCAGGGGTCGTATTCCAAAAACAATGTTATCTCTTGTGTTAGGGAAATGATGTTAATTATCATTAAAAACAAATCAAAAGGTGCGGAGCTAATGCTTACCATTATTGCTTGCAATGATGTCTCTTTTAACACAAACACTGCCAGCTTTGCACAGGCATTAACCAATGACTTGTCCGACTTATGCTTTATTTTGACAATTAAAATCATTTTACTAACATAAAAAATAACATCGTTTTCGGAATAAATAATAATAATAATAATAATAATAATAATGGGTTCTTGTATAGCGCTCATGTCTGTCAGATTTGACCCTCTTGGCGCTCCTGATTAAAGCCAATGAATAGTATTCAAGATTGTCTGTAACAATACAAAGGTAATACAACTCTTCACATACTGGCTAGTAGCTATGAATGAACACAAAAGAAAAGAAAACAAAAAACAAATACCAGTTCCGATCCCAAAGATTCATCATTCTTTAATTCAGGTTTTCATATCATCATAATCCTGCCAATTTAATAGGTCAAAAAATGAAAAACCTATTTCTCTTAGCAAATCAGCAAACTGCTTGCATCAACATTGCAATGTCGGTAAAACGGTTTCAATTAAACAAAATTTAGATGTTTAATTGAGTTTGTTATTAAGAACGGTATAGTAGCAGAAACAAGAGTTGCCAATTTCTATGAGAAGAAATGGTTCATGTCCTTTAAGGGCATATACATTTCTAAAGGTTTAAAACGAGTCTTGGGCAGACAACGTTCATCATGTGTAATACAATTAGTCATAATATCAATAATCTACAAGTACAAAGTACTTATTCCAACTCTGAAATCAGCATGGGAGATTTCAGGATAAATTCAACATTATAAAAAAAACATTCTTTCAGACAATGGGAGATTTGGAATGAAACCAACATTCAGCTAAAAACACAAATACTTCTTCCAAATTACATCTACACACAAGGGACTCATACTGCTTCTTCGACATACTCTTGCTTGTGCAATCTTAATGAGACACAAAGGAGGTTTGTCGACAAACCTAGGTTTATGTGTGTCATATGACGTGTTTTGATGCGTTTCGATGCGTTTCAGACAAACCTTGGTCTGCAACATGTCAAAACGCGTCATATGACGCACATAAACCTAGGTTTGTCTACAAACCTCCACTGTGAATTTGGGCCACAGGCAAACAATAACAAACTCCCTGTACAATGTATGTTACCCACAATGCACCTTGCATATCAATCTCCTTTATACACATGTTGTAGTTGTAGCATTGAACCAGAAAAATGAAAAAGAGAGACTAGTACAGAAATACATTATTACTAAATGTGACCTGTGGGTTTTATGTCTATTACCTTTCTATACTACAACTATCAGTTCTTAGGGTTCTTAAACTGGAATTAGTTATGCCTGATGTTACTATGGATTGTGACTAATGACTATTCTAGCGGCAAAAGTAGCATGTTGTTTATTTCAATATAGATTGTGAGTGACTAATAACTATTCTAGTGGGCAATAGTAGCATGTAATTTATGATCCCCCCACAATCACACCTAATCACAACACAATTTTAGTGTGATGCACCATTGCACATTTGTGTTTATTTCAAAGCAAAGAAAATGTAATTGTATTTGATCTTCCAACTCCATGATATACCAAAAGTCCAAAACCAACTCTTCATAATTTGTTTTCATAATTTTGGTTTGAATTGCTGTTAATAATATACATCAATGTTATGCTTCATTGACAGGAAATTCTACTTAGTTTCTCTCTGTAAAAAAACCCACAACAATGTAAAACCTAGTGTATACTGGACAATGCATAAAGGAACTCTTCACTCTTTCAACAGTAAGAATCGACATAATGCAGTTTGGAGGGTTCTACTTGCGATGTACGCAGAAATGCGAGACATGAGAAAAGAAAAAAGAAACAGAAATTTTCAGAGATGCCAACCTTTTTCATCAATTGAATAAAATGTGTTTTCTGAAGCATGAGCTTTCTTTGTTTTCCTTCTAATTTTTAATTTAAAATAGCAGTATCACTGTCCAATGGATATAGTGGAACATCAAATCTTGTACCATGAATTCTAATAAATCAAACTTTGTCAGAGAAGACCAATATAAGCATAGGTAGCCGGGTTTGGTGAATGCAGTTTCTGCTGGTGCATTGGAGTAGATTCTGGTTGATACAAGCAGATTCTATCCCTCTATATTTGGGGGATTTTTAAATAAAGACTGTAACTTCACTATTCTTCACCAATAATGAATCCTTATTATTCCTCACAAGATTAGAATGAAGATTTTAGAAGGGTGAGCCATTGTAATAATAATAATAATATTTTTAAAGTCCACTCCAAATTTTATTAAGTTAAACCGAAAATGGAAATTCTTTTTGCCCAATTGATTGTGAGCCCTGCAGCCACTGAGCAGCGCCACATCGATGTTGCTCTATCCCTTATTGTTGAATGCCAAACAAGGTAGCAGCAACTCCCATCTTTTAACGTCTTTTGGTATGACGCGGCCCCGGTTCGAACACACGACCTCCCGGTTGTGAGGTGGACTACATTGTAGAACTACAATGAAGAGGCAAGTTAGCTCAGGTGGTAAATCGTCTGCTGTCGAACCAGACTAGGGGTTCAACATTACAAGCCAACCCAGGTGGATACCGTAACAAAAGCCTGCGTTGTGTATTAATGCACCTCCCATGTTCCATAGCACAAGCCAAGGTTACAAGAGAAAACACTGTACCCATTGGCAAGGATGTTCGATGGAGGCCTTTGTAGAGAGGAGAGTCGCCACCTTTGTACTTTAAGAACCCACTGCACTCTTCATAGAAGAGCGGGAGGAAACCCTGGTGTAGTGGTTTACCTGCACATTCCAATCAGTTATACAAGGAGGGAAAGACCCAAGGGCTACAGTGATTAAAATCACTAACCCCCCCCCCCCTCCCCCCCTCTCATTCACAGATGATGCTAAATGAATAATAATTTTAATTGTTGGGACAAAAAACATTATTTTAAAAGGTGTTTTCAGCAGCTTTTGAAATTTGAAATGAAAATTCTTTATAACGGTATTTGATCAACTTGGAAATTTAGTTACAATTTCGGATCAAGAAACCACAAGAAGTATTCTTTGTAAAATCAAAATCGTGAGCATCATTTTTCCTGTCATTGAACAATGAATTTATAAAAATAAATATTTTGTGCATGTATTGTTTATCATAAGCTTCTTCTTTCTAATCCAATTTTCTTTTCCTGAGTTCCTTTCTATTTTTCCAAAGATCTTTTGGGGCTTCCCGTATCTGAATTGCTCTTCACTTGCATATATACACATGTTTAATTTTTTAATAAATGCATGACAGCCTGATGTGTATTAGAATTGCATCAGACTTATTTTATGGACAAAGTAACTACTCTTATGGCTTGCAAAAAACTAAAAAGTACCTTAAAAGATGCATAGTAGTGGGCTCTCATGGGGAATTTGACACTATTTTGGTGTTTACCCAATAACAGGTGTTATCATCACCAGTAATAGCATTGTTTTATGGCCAGCAGGCCTTATGTAATGCTCTGCATTTTTGCACCAATGCTCCGTACGGAACAGTCATTACCTCCCCCAGAAGACTCTCCGAAAGACTAGGGGGCCTTTCTTGATGGGGCCATGGGATTGCTGTGTGTGAGACTTAACTGAACTATACCTCGTTGACTCTAGCTCCAATCCAGCACAAGCCAGTGTACATGTATCTAACATTACGATACCAACACACATGTATGAGGAAAAGAACAACTTACATGCTATCTTCATTAACCCATCAACCATGGTATAAATGAAGAGACAACATTCAAATATTTCACGTCTGTGTCTCTTTACAGATACCTTATCTCAGAATCTCTTAGAATAACCTTTAAAACAATACAGAAAAAAGGTTGTGACGATCACTTCTGTCATCAATTCCATCTCGAAATGGTCAAACTCACATCACAATTGTGTGACTAACACTGCACAATAATTGGAATATCAAAGTTTAGCACCTTTGAATGATGGGGGACACATGACATAGCTAAGATTGTACCTCTTCTGTGACTTGCACATTGACCATGGATGTGTATACCAGCATGACTGATATACATTGGATATAACCTTTAGCTCTTAAACCCCCCCCCCCACCCCCTCCCCTCCCCTCCCCTCCTATAATGAAGTTAAGGGGTTCTAGCTTCACCATACAGCTGCACATTTATTATCGGGAAATATAGAAATGCTCTATTACAGCAAAACTTGCATCTGGGCTCATATTTCACTGGGGATTCACTGGTTGGCATCTCTGAAAAAATGATAGATTAGTTTCTCTTTACAAGGGAAAGAAAAAAAGATTATTTGAGTGCACCAAAATTATCATGACATGTTACAACTTATCATTTTCATCGAACATAAAAAAAACATGAGGCTGAACAAGGTACATAGATTTTCTGATACACCGTCTAAAGTTTGATTTCAAGTCTGGTGTACTAGTGTGATTGTTGAACGACTCAGACAGAAATTTCTTCAGGGTTGGTAGAGTTTGTAGCAGCAGCTGGGGTCTCTTCACACTGTGCTGATTCAGTCCTTTCATCAGGACTGTTAGAAGTGTAAGAGTTTGAATTCAAAGACTTGTTGATAATCACATTGTCTGTTCTTACAACCTCCCCACCATCGGATGCACAATTGTGATCCGATTGAGGACTGGACATATTACTGTCTAGCCCATCGTCCCCCGGGTTAGATAAACCATTATTATTATCAATAGTCGTTTCTTCAGACTGGCTGATTGTCTGAATGTCTGACGGTTTATCCGTGATATCGGATTGTTTATCAGTAATATCGGATTGTTTATCGGTAATATCGGATTGTCTGTCGGATTCATCGTCGAGACTGCTGCCGATCTCTCCTCCCTCATTAACAGCCCCAAAAGTACTAGGATCTCTGACCAAGGTGTTCAATTCATTAACATCATCATCATCATCACAATTCTCATTATCCCCCACCAACCTCCCATTATCCGATTCCTTCCCATTATTTTGGGGTATGGTAAGAATGGGTTCAGAATGGTTTTCATCACCGTTTGTACTGAAATCTGGGGTCAAGATTCCTGACCCTTCTTCACCCGTCCTTGAACTGACCGCATCAACCTCTGGACCATCCTCACTGGGTAAGCTGCCCTGAGACGATGATTCTTCCAGTGGAGTCCTGACCTGTGGTTCTTCATCCTTCTCGTTGTCTCTGTAGTCTGTAGTTCGCTCCTGATCCTGCTCTGTTGAGTAGTCTTCAATTAACAACTGACCATCGGAGTCTGTCGTTTCAGGGGAATTCCCTCCTTGGATTTGGGGGATTTCCCTTTCATCCGCAGCGTTGGGTAGTTTGCATGTCTCCTTGGATGGTGCTTCTGTCCTGAATTCTCCATCACCCATGATAGGCTCTTCAGCTGTTCTAAGTTGTTCCTCCTCTACGGGGCTAGCGGGTGACTCCACGAAGTGGGATGGGTTACACCACGGCTCTACAGACAAACTCTTATTCTCCGTCAGACCAGGGTCATGAGGAGACATCACATCCATGGGCGTCTCTTCATCATCTATGTATTCTGTAGTTCTCACATCAGGTATCTGCTTTTCAACTGCCTCCTCCTCCTCCATGTCCCCTTCCATCTCCTCCTCCTCCTCCTCCTCTTTCTTCTCCTCTTCTTGTTCTACAAGCTCTTTACAAGGTTCTACATGCTTACCCACTTCATTGTCTTGCATATTAGGTGGACTACCTGGCTGCATATTAGGTGGACTTTCAGGCTGCATGTTTTGCTCCTGATTGTCTTGAATCTGTTGTTCATGTTTCATGTCAGCTGATGACACCGGGGTTAGAAGGATGCCAGCCGACTCTGCAGCATAGGTTAATCTGGTTAGCTCCATCTGTTTGTCTTTGAGTTCTTGTTGCAGTGCTAGGATGGTGCTCTGCATGCCTTCCCCTTCGTCGTTCAGTTGGATCACCATCTCATACATCTCTGTTGAAGCAATGCAAAATGAAATGTGTAAAGGAAGTTTACTATTAGCAAAACAATCACTGTGAAATCACTATGAAATCAGTGTTAGGGACCTTTTGCTAACTACTGGTTTAGTACCAGGCGAATCTATGGAGTATGGACCCAACCCTATAAAAAGGGTGAGCAACCTTCCCCAGCATTCAGATTTATATAGGAACCATATATGGTCACGTGGTCTGTGAGAGGCTAGTTTTCTTACCATCCTGACTGGTCTTGAGCTCCTCATTGATCTCTTTCTGTAGAGCTAGTTCCGCTTCCACCTGAGCTACCTTCCCCTGAGACACCTGCTTACCAAGCTCCTGATTCTCTTGGAACAGAGTGCGACACCGAGCCATCAGACGCTTCCCCGTTTGACTGCAATACACACACAACAAAAATTGTCATTGTTATTCCTACAGAGGATTTTAGAGCCAAAATACAAGATTTGTTGTGTCGAAACACTTCATTAACGGTCATGTGTGACTGGGCCTTCAGCCTTAGTCTTAAATCCAACCCTCCATTCTAACCTTCGTAATAAGTTTATTTGCATGCAAGCAGAAGAATTAAGATTAAGATTTAGATTTAAAGGGAGTGTAGCGTGGCAAATACTGGTTAATGCCATCTACCTCTTCTTTTGGACAACTGCACCTAAACAAATGGACTTGATTAACGGTAGTCAGCAAATTAATCTCTACATGGTCAGCGTTCGTGAAACAGACCGAAGTTCTCCTCACGCTTCGGTTTTTCCATATGTTGCACGCACGTGATTGCTCGTCTATGGTCGTATTATATCCGATTGGCCCTGAGTCAGGCCACCAGAAAGACTTGTAGTCTCGTTAGGCTACACTCCCTTTAACATTGCTGTATACCTACCTGTCATGGGTGAACTTCCAAGCTGCCATATCCTCTAGTGCCTGCTGAAGAGTAGTCGTCTTATCTTCGAGTTCTTTCTTGAGACGTTGAATCAAGAGATTAAGAGCAGGGTCCACTGTAGCTGATCGGAGCTGAGCTGTGCTGGCATTCTGAGTTTTATCTGCAAGCTGAGTCTATAGAAATTTAAAAAACAAGTATCATGGTTAATAATACTAGTACTTCTACTACTAATAATGGAGTCTTGCATAACACTCCTGTCTGGCATATATTGCCCCTCCTGGCGCTATATTAATATTATCCCTGCTTTAGAATGGTTGCCTTTACAGCGCTCATGCATTTTATGGAATAATTCCTGCCCAGAACCAGTTTACCTCATTGGCAAATGTAGATTCATGTCTTTCAAAACTGTTAACTGATCCCTGTAAGTCTTAAGCATAAAAATGACAATGATGACAAGAGTATTCAAGTCCAAAAATGGCTTCAATAGGAAGACTGTTAGCACATACAGTAATGTATGGCATTATCTGGGCATGAACATCACTGGTACATGGACCTTAGAGAAAGATACATGTAAGTTCATTGAGATCTGAGTGTGTATGAGAGAGAGAGAGAGTGAGAGTGAGTGAAACTGTTTGAAGACCTGTCTGTCATATAAAGTATCTTTTCCAAGGATGGTGGTTTCAGTAGCTGTTAAATATTTTATAAGTGTAAACATCACACTACTTGATTTACGTTTGGGGCCTACATTAAACATACTTGCTTCGGCACCGCGAAGTTACATGCTCGAGCTAGCAAACCATATTACAGTCAAACCTGCTTTAGTGACCACCTGTCTACAAACACCACATATTTTGTTTCCCATAAACATGTACTAAAGGAACCTGTCTACAAAGACCACTTTTTGTGTTTCCCTAGCGTGGTTGCAACAGACAGGTTTGACTGTACTCATCAAACTTTACGACACAAAAGAGTTGATCTTGATGACTTACAGCTAGTTCATGAAGTTCCTGTTCCTTAGTGGTGAGTCTCATGACCAGAAGCTGTTCACGCCGAGCCGCCTTGAGATGACGAACCTTGTCCTCTCCATCTCCTGTGTTCAAGAAATCATCCAAAACTTCATTATCCATTCTTCAAGAAAACTGTTGTAACAACTACATAACTACATGTGTACATGTATGTCCTGAAAGTGTTTAAAAAAGACTAAGATTGATTTTAAGTTGAACTCAACTATGGCACCACTGGTCTCTCAATTATGATCTTTAGATAATATTTTTTCCTTTAATAATGAACTATCAAAAAATGTAAATTCTGTAGATTTGTGAATATGATTTGTACGTCCCTTGAGAGACCAATGCCAGTGAATGGTGAGAGTCTTTGTGAAAAACACCCCGCTGATGGTCTAAAAATTATATTTTTACTCTACAGTTTACATATTCCTACTTCTTGTACTACACGTATTCTCCTGAGTAAGTAAATGATCTGACTAGCATCTTGTTTTTAACTGTTTGGCAACTTGAAAAGAGTAATGGCTCGATGAACAGAGTATTAGTGCAATGTTCATATGCTACCTCTCAGGCTCTCACGTCACAGGGAATCAACACATTCACACACAATTACAAAAACCATCAAAATAAATGAAGACATGATGTAAAATTCTGGATTACAGGTAAAATCACCTAGTGAATTGAGGAATTTTAAATTTAATTTTATCCAAGCTGGTCTAGAGAATACTGAAAGATTAATGAATGTCTCAGAGTGCTTGGTGTTTCAGTCACACAGTAGGAAGTGAATGAAGCAAGCATCTATGAATCACTATACGCAGAAGAGAAATCTGTCTAAGCCACCAAGTATAAGGCTCGACAGTCAACGTTTCTGCAATAATAATACATTATGGTCTCTAACTCTCTATTCTAAGGGTGGTCCACAAACAAAATTCAAACGTGTAAAATTGGAACATGGACAGAGCATGAGATGACGTATGAGAAGCATGAAGTCCCTTGTGAATGAAACAGTGTGGAAGCAGTTGAAAAAGACAGATTATGTAGCACATAAGTATTGGTGTACCGTATTTGCCGGCGTAAAGGCCGCAGTATTTTTGGAAGAGAAAATATCAAAAAGTCGGGGTGCGGCCTTTACGACGAAAGAGTAAAAAAAAATTTAAAGAAAGTCAAAACCAACACGAATTTGCACATATGGGACTAGAAACGGTAAAATAACGATACCACTATGGTATAGGACATTTCCAAACATCTTACCGACAATTTTATCTTGCATTGTTGACATGAAGACGAAAATAAACGTCCTAACACAACATTTGCCGATAGATCTTGATCTAAGTTCGTGCCAATGCATTGCAAAAGTAAAGGAAGGGACAGTCTAACGTAGCTGCCGCAAACATCCATCCGAAGTCGCCATTTTGTTTTTCCATTTCATGCATTTTCGCATTACACCGTACATTGTGGTAGGGGTATATCGAACACCAAATCTGCCTGCGATCACTTTTTTAGCTAAACTTCCGGTAAATTATAAGAATATGGATGAATTTGGTATCAGTTTGTAAAAAAAAATAGTGTTTTCGAGAAAATTATGATTATTTTGTTTTTCCCGTTTGTTTTTGTTTTTTGTTTTTTGTTCCCTTTTTGAAATGTCAAAGTTGGGGTGCGGCCTATGTGACGGTGCGGCCTTATCGCCGGCAAATACAGTATACTGTAAAGTTTTGGAATCATCAAAAGGATAATGAATTGACCCAGTCCTGCTTAGTTACATGCACTATACAATATACATGGGACTACACAAACATATGCCATGAATGTGTGTGGTCCAAAACCTTTAGCTGTTGCTTGTCATACTTCGAATATAAGGGCATTTGAAGAGCCATCCTTTTCAGGAGACATTGTTCTTAAAATACTCTTTCATACTCACACAACAACACAAAAAGAATGAAAAAGCTCACAAAATATTTTATACCCTATCCCAGAACTCAACCTTCTCTTTAGCTATCAAATTGTCTTGGTGGTCAGTTACGAGACAATTAACTATTTTGAAGCAGACCATCTCTGAAATGTCTTTTAAAGGTATTTGCCATTGCCCTATAACATGTAAAGGCTTGAATGAACCAACAGTTTCACCTACTACTTCCATTTGTCAAGCTGTGACATAGTGCTCTTACCATTGTTACTAGTACTAGCAGCGCTCATTTCTAGTCTTGCCTCCAGCTCTGCTATATATTCATCTTGTTTCTTGATGTGTTCCTGTAGATCAGGTTTACAAAGGCTATCCACCTCATCTTCACACAGTCTTGCCTGCAAAAGACAACAAAAACAAGAAATTACAATCTCTTGTATTGTACAGATTGAACTTGATGCCCAGACTTAATTTATTACATTGGAGAATGACACACCGTAAGTGGAAAACTACAAAACAAATTATTAAAATTCAAAGGGGTCATCTCATTGGTGTGGATACATGTTGACCTCAATGTAATATCAGAAGAAAATTTACAAATATTAGGAATCATATCCAAATATTTAGGTCATACAGTGAGATTTAAAAAAAAAATAAAAACAATAAGGAAGAAATAAATTTTTAGACTTTTGCACCATAATGATTATATATTGACCTTAGCATCATAAACTAGGCAAATAATGCCAATGGTAACCTTTATGATTTTAAAGCCCCTGTACATACTCTGCCCCCAACAGAGCTGGGCTGAGCTCAAGATTTGTGCCTGCAATTTTTTTTTTTTAGTTTAATTACTTTCAGGGAAAGAGGTACAATGTATAACATTTTTGCACACAACAAATTCATACATATATTTTGACAGAATACAAATGATATTGGTGTTTACCCTTTTTCTGGGACTTTCTTCTGTCATGTTGCTGCCTCTGAAAGATAAATTAAAAAGGTACCAAATTAAAACCACATTAAAATCTTCAATAACAATAATTTATCAATAACTGACATATAGATCTAGAGGACATCAAAATCAAGTTTAGGATAACATTTCCAGCCATGATCAGCATCACAAATGCTTGGCAGAGGCAAAAGTTTTTGCAATGCAAAAATTCACATATCACTTGTCAGTTAAATGTTAACAAGTTTAAGATTTATAAGCAAAACCTCCATCACTCCCGTAACAAACTTTTATATTTTTGGTTAAATTTTGAAGTGTGTTTTCAACGAGGAGAAAGAAGAGCCCTCCGGCATATCCAATTAACTCCGAGTCTGAAGCCGTGAAGGTAGTTTGCAAGACCAGGCTGGTCATGTGCTGGAATGGGTGATTACGTCCACATTTGAAGTTTTCTTTTTCTCCCCAGTCTCCACACAATGCACAGCTCAGTCACACTCGCACACACTCACAGGCAAATGGATCAGCTCAGTTGGTGATACGACTGATATCGATATCAAAATATTTCATAAATCACCACGCACAGAGTAAAGACCCCAATGAGAATTCATTAGATTAGTTAAAAAACTTAGAATAAGGTTAGACCTATGCAATATCAAGTCAGATTTCCATTGCCAAATCAATTTGCATCACTCCAGCCCCCGGCATGACTTAATTTCTGTTAATTTATTTGGAGCAAGTTCATTTGAACGTTAGAAAAATATATGGTGCCCCCATCAAACGAAGTCAACAGAGTACTTGTCATTTGTTGTCAAGTAGAGTCTATATCAACATGATTAGTATCAGACCAATCACACTTCACAGTCTAGACTCTACAGAAGAATTGTAGAATCATTTTTGAATCGACACATTTTTATTTGATCGAGCTGATGCCCGCAATGTAGCATAGCGACTGGCGAGGCTAGCTGACGATTGATGCTTCTGATCTGCTAGACTCTACATATCTATTAATATTGTGCCAAATGTAAGTTCATTGTTAGTCAATAAATATAAGTAATGTCATAATTTTAAAACAGAGATTAAATAAAAAGAGAAATTGGCAGCCATGGCAGTCTACAACTCACTGGCTGAAATCAGACCTTTGCGGATGGCGATCCCACTTTCCAAATTCCAGCTCGAGCTGACCTGGTTGGTCTAGAAAAAAACGTCTTTAAATTTCTCAAAGAAAAAAAACTTACTCTGCCTTTATTCTTCTGTAATTACCTTTCAGTTGTACTTCTTGTGAATGTGTTATTCCAAGAGGTAGAAATTTGGGACACCAGAAAAATCTCGAATTTCTCTGTCGACATGCATCACGATATTCACCATGTGCAACACCACTCTAATTCTAATTCTCATGTACGTACAAAACACATAGGGGAATTTTCATGCATGCATATCGCACGTTATACTTTGCATTGAGCTTTGCTCGAGCCTCCATTGGCAAATTTACGCGTTTACATATTCAGGTGTATGTTGTGGTCACGCCTTCTGAAGTTCAGAGGATCGAGAGAGGTTAATAATTATGTTGCGCCTGTTCATTTGTATTTTACGTTAAAAAAAGAAGGAAGTTCCTTCATTTTTGATCAGTCATAAAAGAAAATATATTATGTTTTTTCAAATTCGATACTTTTTCTACGGAAAAAAATTATATCAGACTTTGTTATGCGGAAGTAGAAGAAGAAGGAGAAGACAGAAGAAGGACTCGGAAGCCAGAATTTTTTTTAAAGAAGAAAAAGAAGGAGAAAAAATAGAAGAAAAATTAAAAAATTAAAAAGGAGAACAACAATGAAAAGAAAAGGAGAATAAAGGGAAGAAAAGAAGAAAAGTATAAGATAAAAGAAGGAAAGATGAAGAAAAAAGAAGGAAAGAAGAAGGGGAAGATAAAATGAACTTAAAAAAAAGAAAACAAGAAGAAACTAAAGGAAGTAAAAGGGAAGAAAAAGAAGAACAAGAAGAACATGAAAAAGAAGGAGAAGAAAGAAAAAAAAATTTGAAGATGAAAAAGAAGGAGAAGAAGAAAAAGAAGAAGAAGCCAGAAGAAAGAGAAGTATTTTTGTTTATAAATATGATATAATGCAGTTGAATCGCAAAATTGTATATATTGATGATTTGTCTTGCCTATTATATTGTTATGGTTGACCATTTTAGGCCATTTTCTTTTTTACTGATTACGGATGATGAAATTCGAATCTGAAATTGGAATCCAAAGAAGAAGAACTGAAAGAAAAGGAGGGGGAGGGGGGGGGGGATAGGCATATCACATGGCCCGTGTGCATGATTCCTAAATCTCTTCATGAATCAAAGGCGATGCCTCACACAATACTTTTAGTCACTTCACTGAATTGACGCCAAGCCTTCGGAAATTGTTTTTTTTTTTTTTTTTACATTTCATCATGCATAATTTTTGTAAAATTGTATTAGTTTGTTTTGTCGGTCTCATATACAGGTTGTCGGTCTACTCTAAGAGTGAACTTTAATTTGTTAATGGTCTAGTCTGAAACTTTTATAAAATGATATCACTACTGTAGGCCTATACATGCGACCTCCGTTTAACGTCCCATCCGAGGGACCTACACAACTGCCTGCACTCAGGGGCGGATCCAGGAATTTCTTCCCCCGGGGGGCACACGGGGGGTAAGTTTATATATATATATATATATATATTTGTTAGTCCACAAAAAATCGCAACGACTCAGCCAGCCGCTGAATAAGCGGGGGGAGGGGGGGGGGGCTTTTTTAATAGCATATTTTTTTTGGGGGGGGCGGGGGGCGGGGGGCGGGAGGGGGGCAGATGCCCCCTGTGCCCCCCTGGATCCGCCACTGGCACTGAAAACAGTGGCGAGGAATGCTCGCTTTTTTTGTCGGAGAAAAATTTCCGAGCCATTGAGCAGTATCAGTTCTCGGTTATTTTCTCAGAAAACTGAGAACGCATTGCAATGTCAAGCAGGGCTATAAACCCAAACTTTAAACAAACTTGAGGAATAAGGGAAATTGAGGGCACATAATTATGAAGGCTGCATGGGAGCTTGATGGTGAAACGTGACCCCCCCCCCCCCCCCGGCCCTCCTCCTCCACTGCTCTACCGGGTTTATTCGCCAATGCTCGCCCCAATCGTCTCCATATTTACATGTACATATTTTAACATAACTTGTTTAATCCTTTGTGGATACATACTTATTTCATTGCAATCATAATATTACAATGTCTAAAGTTTTGACCCGGGGGGGGGGGGGGGGGAGGTGGGTACTCGCCTAATACGGTAAACGGGGAAGTACCGCTCTGGAATACTTTTTTTTTGCACAAATCCCTGACATGGTATGATTTTGTATTACAAAATCCCTAAAAGTGTCCCCACTTTTAAGATTTTGGCCTCAAAGGCATATATGTAGCAGGCGTGGATCCAGGGGGGGGGGGCGTACCGACGGGCCCGGCGTCCCCCCCCCCCCCTTCCCGATTGAGCGATATTGGTCGGCGCGATTTCCCAATGTTAGGCCCCCCCCCCCCCCCCCTATCGGCAAATCCAGGATCCGCCTACCAATTGCATCCATTATCAAATTCTGTATAATATAATAAGTATAATATCTTAATTTTTTAATACTGGAGAAAAGAAGAAGAAGAATGATGAAAAAGAAGATACCTGGAACTGTAGTGTAAAATGGAATCATCAACCAAACGCTGCCGCTCGCTCGACGCCCGCCGCCCGCCGCACGACGAACGTACGCGCGCTGAATCGGGCCCAGAGCACAAGTGCATCCATCGCATCGCTTTTGAGACCTCCGTCTCCCGCTCAACTCGGAGCAGTCGCTGAGCGCGCCCCATTATAGATAGGGCCTAGGGGCATGAATAATTATTTGATAGGCAGTATATAACTTTAATAGCATCACCGTTATTACTGTCTTCAAGAATGTGGCCTTAACCAATGGATTTTAACGTTGAAAACTTATATATTAAATTGAAATGAAGAAGCTTCGAGTATGGAACTGCGTCTCTCTTTAATTGGGCACGGGAAGGGAACTATAGAAAGGAGGCAAACATAAAATAACGGAGACACCATTTATTTATTTTATTCGCAATACAAACATTTGATCATTCCTTTACACTACACTTTGATCAATTATTCTTTACATAATTATTGATCGGGCATAATCATAAGGGAAAGTATTTACCTCTACTTGTCGGATCTAAGAAACTCTCTTCATTTGATACCGACTTGATATCAATGCAACTGGAGATCGTCTTGAGTAAATGCTGAACCGTATTGATCTACACGCTACCACGTATACCACATTGATTACCTGTAACATAATGAAGTAGGCCTAATAATGGGAAAACATACGGTACATCAATTTTAAATCCAAGATTGAAAAAATGTACATATTCTATATACCTTCACATTTTGTCTTAATATGATATTCGTAGACAAAAAACCCAAATCTTCTTTGAACAAAAGTGCAATAGCCTATATAATGTTATTACTTTATTGCACATGCAGCATAATGATTTTTAAAAACCTTTACAGACAACTTAAATTAAAGGTAAAACAAAGTTTTGTGAAATTTTAAAATTGGATGGAAAGTGATTCTTTACAATTTTGATATATTTGGATGTCCCTGTGAATGTGGAAGTGGTAGCTGCGACCATGAAAATGTCAAAATATGTATTTGTGATATAAAATTTCCAAACAGGAATACTAATCGGTCGATTTTAGTCAAGAAATATTTTTTTTAAAGCTTAATTAATATCTAGACCTTGAGAGGGAGCTATACAACATAAAGAGTGTACTATTTACAATTTCATAACTTTAGACTCGATTTCAACCGCGGCAACGATCATTGAATATTGTAGGATCGCATGTGCTTCCAATTTGTTCATTTGAACCAATTTCATGACCCCATACCAAAACTTGGTATACCTTTAACTTTGAGAAAGTTTTGAATAATTAGATAGTAACAAATCTATAGTGTGTATACATTTTCTCCGCCATGGGTGCGTGTTTGTGTATTCACCCATGCACATACTGGCTGTGTTTGACAGTATACACTTTGAAGAAATGCAATAGACCAAAATGTGAGTAGTTATTGGAAATTAGACCGAATGGTTATTAGCCCAAATGGTCATTAGACCAAATAATAAGTAGACGAAATGATTATTAGACCATATGGAAAGTAGGCAAAATGGGCATATAGACAAACTGGCAAACAGACGTACTGGGTATTAGACTAAATGAGCAATGGCCCAAATGGGTAGTATATTTATTTAATATTAGACAAAATAGTTAGCCTTTACAAATGGTCATTAGACCAAATGATAAATATAAGAAATTATTATTAGACCATGTGGATAGTAGACAGGCTTGGTGGAGAACATTAGGCCCCCCCAAAAAAGTGGTGCCAAAACATGAGTCGGTCGGTCGGAAATCATCTTTCTTTTTTAAAAACTTTTTTTCTTCTTCTTCCTCTTCGGGCTTATATTTCTCAGTTTTGAATGCTTTAATACATACCTTTTTTTTTTTATTCATTAAACATTTTTAAATGTTTTAACGTAAACAATTTTGTTTTTAAAAGCCAACCGTGATTTCAAGATTTGTGGGTCGGTCGCAAAGGGCAATACAACATTTTTTTTTGTTAGGCCTTATGAGAATAGATCAATACTTATTGGGTATATTATGAACTGCATGGTTGTAGACCAAACGGCAACAAACCCCGTGCTATCTTTTTGGCATGCACCGACTTATTTTTAATTTCACTTTGCCCCCCCCCCCCGAACCCCTTCTCCATCGAAGACCATTTTTTATATTGCTTTTCTATTTTTGCCCTGCCCACTCTTTTATAATAATATTACATTAATCCCTTCTCTCCAATTAGGAAAGATGATTACATCTATAAGATGGCTGATCTCAAAAACATAAGGTCAAACACCAATTACTCACTCCTGATTAGGACCACATACCTCAGTCATAGTTACAGCATTCACAGTATTTTGTACCTACATCATCATAACCAATTTCCAGCATCAATATCATAATCACCATCATCATCACGTATCTTTTACAACATAAGAAAATGAAAAAGATTGTTTTTAATAGCAATATCAAGTAATTTTATGAACTCATTTATTATGACATAAAAATTAAGCAACGAAACCCGTTTACTTCACTGTCAGACACTATTGAGCGACTGCAATATTGACTGACTTCTTTTTTTTCTTTGATAATAATTGCCATAGGCTCCGGAAGTGGGGGGGGGGGGGGGGGGGGGGGGGGGCAGGGGGGCAGTTACCCCCAGTCAAAAAAGTGGGGGGGGGGGGGGGGAGGCAAAACGCATTTTTGCCCCCCCCCCAAAAAAAAAACGTCCCTCCCCCCTCGAGAAAAAAAAGCAGTAAAGGGGTAAACATGGTTTGTATTTTTAACCCAAAAGAACATAACAAAAATAAAAACCTGAACAAAATCACATATACAATTCCAAGGGCCCTAAGGCAGGGCCCTGTATGCTCATCTGACCGTAATTAAATACCTAAAACCCCTGAGCTTCCGGGCGCTCTGCCCCCTGGACCCCACCAAGGGCCCTAAGGCGGGCCCCTTGATGCTCATCTGACCGTAATTAAATACCTAAAACCCCTGAGCTCCCGGGTGCTCTGCCCCTGGACCCCACCAAGGGCCCTAAGGCGGGCCCCTGGATGCTCATCTGACCGTTATTAAATACCTAAAACCCCTGAGCTTCCGGGGGCTCTGCCCCCTATACCCCACCAAGGGCCCTAATGCGAACCCCTGCATGGATGCTCATCTGACCATAATTAAATATTAAAACCTCTGAGCTTCTGGGGGCTCTCCTCCCCCCTGGAACACGTCAATAGCCTTAAAGAGGGCCCCTGGATGCTCATCTAACCGTAATTAAATACCTAAAACCCCTGAGCTTCCGGGGGCTCAGCCCCTTGACCCCCTGCCGAGACTCATGCCCTGGATCCCACGCCAATTTACGCTCTACCTGATCGTTAATACTCCACTTTGAAAAACGTTCTGCGGGACCTGCATGTAACGTGTAATACTGGTGGTGATGCAGATTTTTCGTCTGCCCCCCCCCCCTTCAGAACGTCACTTTTCCTCACTGGCGTCACTGCCCCTGGAAGGTGAGCCCCCTGGAATGTTTGCCCCTCCCCCCCCAAACTGCTTCCGGCGCGCCTGATAATTGCATAAATGAGCTGTATAGGTACATGAGCATTATTTTCACCCATTATCTCGCTAAGTGAAAATTTCAGATGCAAAATACCGCAAAAATAATTGAAACCATTTCGCTTTTTCATCCAAAGTCCACGCCGATGGTCGCACAGATTTATAAACGGGTAATCCCCTCCCCTCCTCGAGCGTACGCATAATAACAAAACATGGGTTGCGTTTTGAGAATCTATTAATGGGTACCATTTCATAGTCTCCCAAAATGACCCTTAAAGTCGATGGCTGGACCCGCAAATTTTGTTACCATCGCCAAGTTTTAGGCCATGCATTAAAAAAAAAAAAAAGTAAGTAAGAAACTAGATGGAGCAAAGCGATCAAGAGTAAAACAATAGGACACAATTTATTATACGCTAATCCGCTAAGCGTGAAGCTACATTTAAACTTTTTGCATTCGTACCGTGAGAATGACAAATTATTTGTCTATAGTATCAAAATAGTCTGGACATTTAACCCTGTCTCAGTGTAAACCTTATATTTTTTTAAATGTTGAATCATTTATTTATTTTACTAAACAAAACTTTAATAATGTATATTTTCCCATTAGAAATTTTCCCATCATACCTTATTCGTGTTTTCTTTATCGCAGCCTTAAAAAATCATAACTATACATGTATCTTATTTTTCATCGGGTTTCAATGATCTCTTTCTGTCATTTTTCTGCTTGTTTGAAAACCAACTTGATTTCAAGGTATAGATTTCCCTTTTGAATAATAAAAGAATATTACTTTTTATCATTAATACATTATTTCATCAGTAATGATAACGTCATGCCCTTTACTAGATTCGGGTGGCAATTTTGCAGTCAATAAAACAGGTTAACAATAACATTTAATACAAATGTAGGCCTTTGTTTTGTTTTGTAGTAGTGTACAAGCTTGTAAATTTCTTCTAATTTGCCTTCTGAAAGATACCATACCATACGCTGACCTCGTTCGCATTGCTAGCTATAGCTAGCTGCTGCCAGGGCCTCACATCACTGACCCCCATGCCCTATCCTAGCCCTGGCCCTGCGATCCCCAGCTATCTGCGCTGCATGCGCTGGTATACTATACGGTGTAGGCCCTAGTTGTTTAGTAACATATCAGCAGGCTGCGTCAACACTGCACTGTACTGCTACTGCTAGCTGCTAAACTGAGACTCCCGGCAAGTAATTTAAAATTGGAGACATTCTGTTAGCAAGGAGGGCAAAATGCTAGCTGCAACTGCTGTAGTAGGAAGGTGAGTATTTTCACCCTCAGTCTCAAGCATTAAATTAAGGCCAAAAAAGCCCAAAGGCAAAGCCAAAGTCAAAGAAGAAAAAGAAGGAGGGAGACATGGTCATGGACTCTTTTGTCTTGACTTGTCTTGGATTTGGAGAATTGGCATGGCCTGGCCTGGGGAATGAGAAAAGCATAAAATTAGGTTAGGGCAGGGCAGTCAACTTTGGGGAACCGCTTAGAGTTGGAGGAAGATTTTTTTCTTCAGGGTTGATAGTGAGCACCAGAAATAATATATTTTGTTTAAAAACTCAACACCAACTCCGGCCCAGCCCTGAACAAAATCTGTTTGCATACAATACAGTAGGCCTATGCCTACGCTGGTTCGTCATAGTTAACCGCTATTAAATGAATCATAATGAAACAAATGTGATGGTTCCTTTTTATTGGTGCAGGATATTTACGTTTGGTGGGAGGTTTTTTCATATAGACCGGGAAATTCTACATCGTTTGCGGGAGGAAGGGCGTGGTGGCGGCCTTCTCCCTCCAAATGCAGGAGGGTTGACAGCCCTTGGTTAGGAAGGAGGTGTAGGTAGGAGGGTTGAGGGGGGGGGGGAGGGGTAGATGAAAGAAGAACAAATTGTAGAAGGAACAGAAAGAAAAAGAAACTCTAAATTGTTGGGTCTACATCCAGACCCAGATTCAGAGAACAAGACTGGGAATGATGACAACCCCCTCCTAGCCAAAAAAGAAAGAAAAAAAGGAGTACGTCTCTTCTAAAACTGTTCTGTTTTGTGGTCCTGATCCTTGAAGTGGGATGTTGTTGACCTAGATAAGAATGTTGGTGTCCGAGGAAGAAAAGGAGAGTGTGTAGTGTATTTAGTAGGAGTTGTGTCCAATCACTTTAAAATTGCAATGAGGGACTGTGTTTATATCGCCCCTTTTGATTGGATATTAGTGTTATATACTAACATGTAAGTTGAACAGATTGGATTTAGCAAGAGAATTTAAGTGAAATTTCCATAATTTCCTCAACTCAAATTGTTTTCTTGGTTGGAAATATAAAATATGTAAATGGGGGAGAGGGGGAGGGGGGGGGGGGGGACAACATGCTCCCTTGCCCCCTCCCCCTTCAAATATGCTAGTACATTAAGGTTTGGACTAATTAAAACCACTGAAGATAGCATGTAGTCACAAATATTGTTACTTCAAAAGAGGAAATCATGATTCTCATCTCATATTTCTCATGTTTTTAATGTTCTATAAAGGGCACTCCTGAGGAGTCAAGCCAGAGTAGTTTCCGGAGTGAGTTCCCTTCACACATTGCCAGAGCTTCCCTATGACTACAATGCCTTGTCTCCAGTCATTAGCACAGAGATCATGGAGCTCCATCACAAGAAACATCACAACACATATGTGACCAACCTCAATGTGGCTGAAGAGGCATTGGAACATGCAGTTGAAGCAGGTATGTGAAACCCTCTCTCCCTCTCTCTCCTTAAAGACACTATGTCCCTTTTGCAGCCAACCTCAAATTCTATAGTTTGCAGGAATTAAAAATATGTCATGTATGTCCTATCCGTGAAATTTAAACGTTAGCAGTGTCCTAATATTTAAATTATGCAAGGAAACCTGTTACTTGCGAGACTTCATTGTCAGACACTATTGTCAGTATTGAGTGAGTGACTTGCTTTTTTCTTTTTTGGTAAAATGAGCTGTAAAGGATTTGTCTACATCAATAACCTACTTCTTGTAATGGCCAAAATTAAACTGATTGAATCTTTGCGCAGCATATAACGTACGACCATGCGGTACAATGGTTTGAAAATCAAGACTATTACTTATTGGAATTTACAGGGGTTATATTGAAAACACTGCAAAATAGAATATCTATCTCTCTTTCTGTTGATACCCACAATCATATGAGTTTGACTAGTATGGCAAAATACTTGAAAATACTTTGATCGATATTTCAGATTTCCTTAGCCTATTGTTTAAATAGAGGACAGATAGGCATTCAGGTGAGAGTAGAATTTATTATTTGAGGCCAAATTACAGCTTTCCTTTTAGTATTGCATGTACATTAAATGCAGTCGATATAACATACATGCACATACTTACAAGTATCTAATTTTGAACGGAAAAAAAAAGTATTTTCTCGGAAATGGTCAAGCCTTTGAGAAACTTGAAATGACAATTAAATAGGAATGTAAGAACCATCAGACTGACAACAATTTTCATTTAATACCTCAATACTTATTGTGGATATATTCCTTGACGTATGAAGTATTTTCTCAGAAATTTGAGAAACTTGAAATGACAATTAAATAGGAATGTAAGAACCATCAGACTGACAACAATTTTCAGTTAATACCTCAATACTCATTGTGGATATATTCCTTGACATCCTTGCAACAATTAATCTTTATGTTGTGACATCCCTAGGCGATATCAGCACCATCATTTCTTTGCAAGCAGCACTGAGATTCAATGGAGGAGGGCATATCAACCATACCATCTTCTGGCAGAACCTCTCACCAGACGGTGGAGGAGAACCAACAGGTATATTAACCACACCCTAGAATAAGAACCTTTCACCAGACGGTGGAGGAGAACCAACAGGTATATTAACCACACCCTAGAATAAGGACCTCTCACCAGATGGTGGAGGAGAACCAACAGGTATATTAACCACACCCTAGAATAAGGACCTCTCACCAGATGGTGGAGGAGAACCAACAGGTATATTAACCACACCGTAGAATAAGAACCTCTCACCAGACGGTGGAGCAGAACCAACAGGTATATTAACCAAACCCTTGAATAAGAACCTCTCACCAGACGGTGGAGGAGAACCAAATGGTATATTAACCACACCATAGAATAAGAACCTCTCACCAGACGGTGGAGCAGAACCAACAGGTATATTAACCACACCCTAGAATAAGAACCTTTCACCAGATGGTTGAGGAGAACCAACAGGTAAATTAACCACACCCTAGAATAAGAACCTCTCACCAGACGGTGGAGCAGATCCAACAGGTATATTAACCACACCCTAGAATAAGGACCTCCCACCAGATGGTGGAGGAGAACCAACTGGTATATTAACCACACCCTAGAATAAGAACCTCTCACCATATGTTGGAGGAGAACCAACAGGTGTATTAACCACGCCCTAGAATAGTGGGAAGGATGATTACACTTTCACACGTGTTCATGATTTCTGTGTTGTGCAAGCATTAAATTACTAATCATCCTATTGCATAATACTCCATAACATATTGAATCTTGGAGCATGGAAGTAAGAAATCCTATCCTTGAAAATTATGTTGTGGTTGTCTGTCTGTCCATCCATCTTTCTCACTCCATCTTCCCCAGTTCTCTGTCTCTCTGTCTTCAATTCAATTCAATTCAAATCTATTGGAAATTTGTTGCGTTTACATGCATTATTCACAGAAAAATAATAATAAAATTTACATGTGCATGATACATTTAACATTCACATTGTATACCAGTAGATATTTTCTCTAAATTTACATTATATTCCATGTTTGCTCACATATCCAGATTAATTACCAACACAGTAATAACACTGCTTCTCTTCATTCCTCACCCCCCCCCCCCCATCTTACTAGGCGAGTTGCTGAACGTGATCAAGAAGGACTTTGGTTCGTATGATGATATGAGGAGCAAGCTTTCTGCTGCTACCGTGGCGATCCAAGGATCTGGATGGGGGTGGTTAGGGTACAACAAAGGCACCAGGAGTCTTCAGATCGCTACATGTCCTAACCAAGATCCTCTAAAAGCCACTACAGGTAAGATAACTACCTTAATGTAATGAACTGAATCTGAAACTAAAGTCGTCGTTTTCTTCTTTATTCTTTTTCATTTCATTTTAAAGGCACACTGCCCTACTTGTAGCTACTTGCTCCCTCTATATAGAAAACTTCCCCAGTCGGTGCCTGTTGGTCCCCCATGATCCTCTTTTTCTTATGTTAAATGAGAGCTGAGTTAATGAGATAGCCAGCTGTCACAGTGACCTCGCTGGCTCGCTGTGTGGTCTAATCCCTTCTGGCTGAAGTAGTAAAGCCTGCGAGAGAGAGAAACCTATATTTTAATTTTATTTTTGATACTCTTATTTAAAAAAGAGAGAAAAAAAAGAAATAAAGCAATTAATATTAAAAAGAAAGGCGTAGGTGATAATATTCAGTTCTTGACTGATTGCCATTATAACAAAAAACAACAACAGTTGAGGTGTCATGGAATAGTGGTTCATTCACTTGACTCCCAATCCAAGGGTTGAGGGTTCAAATCCCAGCCCAGCACTAATGTCCTTTGGCAAGAGATTAATTTACTTTTGCCACTCTCCACCCAGAGTGCTACATATTTGGCCTCTCGGGTATGACCGGGTTAGTTTGTTTGTTTGTTTGTTTTTATTTCTGCATTTTCACAAAGAACATAATCATATACATAAAGTAACAATTTTTTCTTTATTTTACATAATTATACATTTTTAAGTACATTAAAGGTACTCTGTCCCTTTTGCAGCCAACCTCAAATGCTGTAGAACTTTGCAGGAATTATGAATATGTCATGTATATCCTATCTGCGAAATTTAAACGTTAGCAGTGTCCTCATTTTCAAATTATGCAAGGAAACCCGTTTACTTGCTAGACTTCAGTCAGACACTTGAGTGACTGACTGGCTTTTTTTCTTCTTTGGAAATAACATACATGAAAAGAGTTGTGAAGGGTACATGAGCATTTGTCCACATCAATAACCCACTTCTTGTGATGGCCAAGATTAAACTGATTGAATCTTTGCGCAGCATAAAATGTTTGACCATTCGGTACAATTGTCTGAAAATCAAGACTATTACTTTTGGGCTCTATAGCCCTAAAGTCGATTTGACGACTAATAGTCATTATTTTCCCACTTGAAGACATTTTCAAGCCCCACTTTTTTTAGGAAAGTTCTAAATTAGTATTATCTTTCAAATGCAGTTGGAATTTAACTTTTTCATTTTTTTGGCCTGCAAATGGGACATAGTACCTTCAAATAAGATGCATACAAACAAAAATATTTTTCAATGAAAATAGATAAATAACAGAAAACGCAGGAGACCGCCATCATGAGCGGTAAGCTTGAAATCGATGGCGGCCTCAAGTGAATAGCGACAAACTCTTAAATTATATAATTGTACACGCGAAATTGATCAAGTGGGTGCATGTGCAAGTGCGAATGAGGTTCTGGTACGTAATGTTTATACTACCGTAGTGTATTTTAAGAATTAATAAATTAGAAATACATTCGAATTCAGAGACGAAGTTCAATGAGAAACGATTCTGTATGACGATGTAATGTGACGTTTTAGTGTTGCTTTAAAAGAATAAAGGGTCGAGCATGATTTGATTATTTTAGAAAAATTGTTTCATAAATGTTGGAGTGGCAGGGGCGTCACAGTGTGATGGACATGTGCCCTTTATAAGAAGCCACTGTTATCAATATAAATATAAAACCAATTACATAAATCATATTGCATTTAATGCACTTGAAAACAAAAGGAAGATATTAACTTGAAGACAATAACAAACTCAAAATTACAAACAGTAGAGTGCCCAATGTAAAAATGTTTAGTACTGAATAATTGAATGAATGAATTTTTTCTTCCTAATGCAGGATTGATCCCGCTGTTTGGTATTGATGTGTGGGAACACGCCTACTACCTGCAGTATAAGAATGTCCGTCCTGATTACGTCAAGGCTATCTTTAACATTGCTAACTGGAGCGATGTGGAGAAGAGATTGACAGACGCTATGACTACTTAGATCAATCGTCGAGTCGTCATGCCATTTAAGAAGAGTTTCACATGACTAAGCCTGGCAGACCATCAAATGACTCTTATCATATCAGGCTTTGGTTGTATCTACTGAGAGTCAGGAGGGTGTTAATTCAAACACATTCATGGAGATTAAACACCCCTTCTAGCTTTCGGTATATATATAATCTGTAAAAGGATCTTACTTCATATAGTTTATCAATAACTTCCATTCATCATTATACCATTTCAGGTCATGGTGCGGTGTTCCTCAGTATTTCTTTTTCACCAACTGAAGTGTTGAAATCAAAATGATATTATCATTGCATGTTTGAATAATGCTCATGTTCGTGTAAGGTTCACCGATGAAAACAAACATTATAAATTATATTATTATCATGCATGAATATTGTTCATGTTTGTGTAAGGTTTACTGATGAAAACAAACATTGTAAATGAATGATATCATCATGCATGTCTGAATAATGCTTATGTTTGTGTAAGGTTCAACCAGAAAATAAACATTATAAATGATATTATTATGCACATATGATATATTGCTTACGTTTGTGTAGGGTTTACTGGTTAAAACAAACATTATAAATGATATTATCATGCATGCATGTATGAATATTGCTCATGTTTGTGTAAGATTCACTGGTGAAAACAAACATTGGAAAAAGGGGAAAGGACAAACTTTGTATATATTATATATATATTCAATCTCTAAGCCTTGGGTGATTAACTGATTATTTTTCTTGAATTTGAAAGCACATGTGGGTGTTATACTGAATGTCTTGCATCACGCTTGCCTTCACGAATGTTTATGAAATCAGAATTTAAGAATTACTATGTAAATCTGAGAGTAGACAGAGCTATCTCTCTGCTTGAAGGAGTTTATTAACAAATTTTTTCTTTTGATGCTCTCGAGAGGGATTCGGTGAAGCCAGATGTATTCTCAGTGGAACATATCTCTGATATTTTTTTGGAACAAAATAGACTGATATTTTAGTCTAATGTAAGAGTTGCGTAGTATCAACCTTTCAATCATTATGATTTGAAATCAAACTTAATGTTCTTGTGAATGAGATCAAAGGTTTAATTCCTAGATTGTAAGCACAGGCAGAATCGTACATGTTGGTGTTGAGTTCTGATATAGTCTGTTCAGAACCAGAAGGACATTAACTCTGTGTTAAAGTATATGAGTTAACGCCCTTTTGGCATTAACTCTTGGGCATTAACTCTTATACTTTAACACAAACTGATGATATATGAAATTATGAACGACATTACTATGATAGACTGTGGAGATGTATTCTTGTCATATGGAATTGACCTTACAAAGTGTTGGTTGGATTCTGTTCTTGAAGAAACACTCAAAATTGTGATTTTTATCATGTGAGGAGTTGCTTAGTACTAGAGCTTGAAAGATTATTATGAAAGTTCAAATCAAAACACTTTTCTTTTCAAATTTTATCCCTACTGCTTTGAATCGGTCTGAAATTAAACTAGATAAAGTTGTTCTTGGTTCTTCACATTTTGTATGAACTGCCACTATTTTCCTATCATGAACTGAGCTACCGGTATGCCATATGCCAATGAATATAGGGAAGATAACCTAGATGATACAGAGAGATTCTCAACCAATCAAAAATAGCCTTTTATATGTAAACCTTAAAATAGAGAAGCTTGTATGTACAAGATGACATGTACATGGCTAAAGACAATTTATATCTATACATGTAAGAAAGCTTAAAATGAGCATTATCTGGTATGCATGGTTTGAAACGATTATTAAATGTGCGGTGAGTTTGAGCATATTTAGTCCCTGAAATCATTACTGTATTGGTCTTACCACACCTACGGAATCAAAGATTTTACCAAAAGAATTAATTTGGATATATTTTCATCAAACCACATTAAATGTGTGAAATAAACTTTTTGTGTATGTTTTTTTCTTCTTCTCTCTTTTAAAGCCCTATTGCCTGCACTACTTATAGCTACTTGCGCCCTCTATATAGCAAACAATGCCTAATCGGTGGTCGGTGGTCCCCCATGGTTCCCTTTTTCTTATGTTAATTGAGAGCTGATTTGATGAGATGACCACATGTCAGTGACCATGCAGGGGGGGGGGGGGTCTAATCCCTCCTGACCAAACTAGTGCAGACAGGCTTTAAATCTAATCTTGTAACAAGCTAAAGCTTAGTTGTGTGAAAGCAGAAAAATAAGAGAAAGGGGTTGGCTAAAGATTAAACAAAGTTAGGAAAGTAATAAAGTTATGAATGTCGGATAGATGAGGTCACTAAAATTAGTTGTATCGGTCAGTTGACTGTGATATACATTGTGTGTAGAGGCAAACAGGAGAGCTGACTGACCATACAACAAAGTGACAATATCTACTTTGTCGCTTTGAAGTTGGCATTTTAGTAATATTAACTTGCAAAAATTTATTTTGTCTGATTTTGTTCATACTTCTACCCATCTGTTTGGGGGATTTTTTGCTATCAAGAGTAATTTGCAATCTATAGGTTTGAAGTGAGAATTCACAATGATGACCTACCAGTTGTGCATACGCATTACTGAATGGTACTATAATTATGTACCTGTTTGTTGAGAAAGCTTTCTGAATACTTTCTGAAAAAATGAGAACGGAGAGAGAGAGAGAGAGAGGGGGGCAATAGGGGAGGTGGAGAGTAGATCATGAGTGAAGCAGAGAATGAAAGAGAAAAAGAAGGTACCTGTTGGCTTATACAGAGAATGGAGTAATAGACAAAAGAGAGAGTAGCGCGGAGATAGGACAGGAGAATATGAGAGAAGGAAATGTCGATGGGAAAGAAAGATGGAAGATAAGAAGATATGGATGGAATTAGAAAGGGATAAGCTAGATAAAAAGAGAAGAGACAAACATGAAGAGAGAAGGGGGGGGGGTAAAAATAGGAGATGTAGAGTTAAGGCCCGGCCCCCCCCCCCCCCCCACTCAGAGGTCGGAATGACCGCATGCGTGTTGCCAAAATGTCCGGTAAAGGGTACTTTTCGTGCGACAAAGTCCGGCCCGAGAATTGTAAAAAAAAAAGGGGTGTATTTGACTTTTCACCCGGAGATTTCTTTAAAAAGGGGGTGTTTTTCTTTTTTTCTCTCATCTCTTTGGACTCCTGAGAAATTATTCTTAATTTAGGGGGGTACATTGAGCATTTTTCCTGATTTAGGGGGGTCTCCAAGGCAGGAAAAGCACGCGAAAAGCCCGCGAAAGGGGGGTTCGGAAATGTTGGCAGTCCTCAGATAGGGGGTGCTTTCAAAAAAAGGGTACGAGCATATGCGTACCCTAAATAACACTGAGTGGGGGGCCGGGAGTTAAGGAGAGATAGATGGGAGAGAGAGCTGAGTTAATGTTTTATGTGTTAATGTGTGAGGTCGCTGGGCGAAAAATTACATCTTATAAAAAGGAAAAAACCCAATCCTAATGGGGATATACGCACATTCTCATAACGGAAGACTTAAAAGACCTTTGATTAAAGTAACAAAAGTATATCATCTATAGATGCGTGACAGTGTAGCGAGCGAGCTTTGGGGGAAATTGCTCTTAGTCGCTTGAAATTAGCTAGGGCGCGTTTAATGATGAGAGGAGCAGGGGACACTTATCAGGAAAGTAAAGGAGCATGTGCCAAAGTAAGAAGAGTAATTATCGAAGGTTAAGATAAGGCACTTATTACACCCTCAAAAAGAGGCACTCACCAGGGTCATGAGAATAGGAAATGGGCACCAAGTTCAATGATATATTTTGAAGTAGATTCACACTTGACCAGTTCACAAAACTTCGAACCAACCACAGAACATGAACTATCTTGGAATGGCCAATAGAGGGCGCGTGACATTTTTCTGATTAGGATCTTGTTGGCATTGGGAGTGTTATCTTTGGAAGTCAATAACTTTTTAGTTAGAGTAGTAATGAATATAAAATTTTCACAGTGTAATAAATGAATATAAATGCATTTTTTTAAAGTAATTCTTTAGGATTTTCATTGTTTCCTCTTTTTTTACAGATACGAACAAAAAGTGATAAATTATGATTTTAGTGAAAAAAGTCAAAAAATTACATTTTAAACCCTAAAAAAGGTTCAAAATATCATCAAATATTATGAATATTCATATCATGTGATAGATAATTTCATTATCTTTCATTAGACACAACATTCATTAAAATTGAGGCTCTTTTTAACAAATGACATGTAAAAAACAACTGTTAGGCGAAATCAGGGTCAAATAAAGGTCATTGACCTCTGAAATCAGGCCCCCACCACCCACGACACACAAGACATCACTTTTCAGACATGTCTGAGGATGTTTTATCCAAAAATTAAAACAAAACACTTGGTCTTTTTTGTCAAAGAAATTCAAGCAGGCTCTTTGACTAATGGTAATCCCATACAATTTGCGTGCGGATTTTCCTCACTACCGTCACTTCGTGAAAACAGGAAGGATTTGCCAACTTGGTTATCAGTTTGTGACGTCATTGCCTCACTATTTTTCAATTGATTTTTTATATAAATAGTGTATCAAAATTCAAATTTTTCACGATGTAACTGAAAAAAAATTACTCTATATAAGTGCATGATCCACATAAAAACATATTACTATCAAATCAATAAAACTTGGATGCTGGTGTGAGGAAATATGATTTTTAGTGGGAAAATACGAAATGTATATTATCGATTTAAAGAAAAAATAATTAGTGGATAGTGCGGACATGACGTCACAAACTCATGAGTGAGTTGTCAATTTGTTTTGCGATTTTCAAGGTTTTTCGTATCATTGAGAATTCATAACTTTCTTATTAGTTATCCGATTTTGCTCAAAACCTTTTTTATTGGTTTGTCTGATTTTAATGCTTTTATTGAAAGTAACTTATTTTTGGAGTGGACTTGGCATGAGACGTTAGTTTTGGGATAGGATTCGAACTCTCAACCCTTGAATTGAGAGTCAAGAGAATAAACCAATAAACCTCGACAACACCATAATTACAAATCTTATCCCGAGTGACATCTTCATTTTTTTTTTTTTTTTATTTATTTATTTTTTTTATCTCTCTCTATATTAAACACCCATGCAGCGATTAGAGACATGGATGTAAATTTATAGATTTTCCCCGAATCACAAAATGAGATTATCCAAAATTTAAAAAACAGTAAGAAAAACTTAAACTTCACCGGAAATGTAATTAAGTTTTTTTCACCAATAGATCAGATTCTCACTCAGTACACTCTTAGGAAACAAAACACAACTAACCTGAACTACCAGTCTCATAAGCACTCACTTACAACTCCCACAATAACATGATTAATTAAAAACACTCACATTATGAATACATGTCCGGTGACGTATAATTCTTGGACATACAAAAATACATTTCTATTTAAATGGGCAAATATATATATATATAAACATCCATGGTAAAGGAAATAGAAAATTATGCTCATTTTAAGAGGGAATTAAAGGAATACCTAGTACTTGACAGTCAGAGAAGAGAAGTGAATGACATGTTATATGATTGAAATTTGTATTCTTCCGTCGGTTCATACTTTTTCATTTTGTATATTATGTTTTCGTACGTTATAGAAATTCTACAAATTCATCATTATTTCCCTCTTCTTCCTCCTCCTCTTTTTCTTCTTCTCCTTTTCTTTTTGTACTTATTATCATTTCTATCATCAGTTTAATGTTGTTATTATTATCATTATCTTTAACAAGTAATTCTTTTATTTTTCTTATCTGCCTGTATATATTACTATCTTAACTTATTAATTTTATACATGTCTGTAAGGGACCCCACTGGAAATAAGCTCTCGAGCTTTCGTGGGTTATCCTGTTCAAGCTGACTTATTTCTGATCTGATATTATTGTATATTGTTGTATGTTGGAAGCTTGTCGAATAAAAATCAATCAATCAATCATGACGTCACTGGTTATTTAGTACATTAATGAAAATACTATTGTTTATAAAGGTGTTTGAAAGAAGAAATAGACGTGGAATTCTGCAAAGTACTATAGATAATGAGTTATACAGTGCGTCCCAGAAAAAACGATGTTATCGATGTTTTATCATAACTTAATCACAATTATAATTAATAAATGACACATCTTTGGAAAGCTTAGATCCTCCTCTTTCATTTGATGCAACTCATATGATTCATATCTCACGCATGAGTGATTAAAAGCAATTTGAAGAGAGGAAACCAAAAAGTCATTTAGCGGGCGGTATCTGAATTTCAAGGAGAAAATCACATTTCTAGAAAGTTCATGTTGTGCGCTTTCATGACACCTCAATCAGGAAAAATGAGTCAGGAATAACAAAGTTCTGTATGTTTCAAGTAATGCTTGCATTTCAATAATTTGATTAAACGAATTCGTTTTCACTGGCTGCTTGCCGTGTCAACAAACATAGTTGACAAAAGACTTAACTCCGTTTCGTTGACAATCAGCCATTCATCAAATCTTTCGTCTTCTTTCTGTATGGCTGATCGTGAAAGGGCAGAAAATGTGTCATATCATTTATTAATTATGATTTTGATTAAGTTATGATAAAATATCGATAACTCTCGGTTTCGTTTTTTCTAGGACGCACTGTATATAACACCTCCTGAATACATAAGATTGATCCTAAAGCATTAATTCTAAAATAGGTTTTGGTAATATTACACCTTTTTTGTGAGCGGCTCTTTATAGTGATTTATATTATGCCTATCGCAAACCATCTATATTGCATTGCATAGATGTGTTGGTATACATAATTAACATGGTAATTATAATATAATATAGAACTATATTTCAACCGTTATGACTATTATCGTATTTTTCTACTTACACTTGAGTATAGTAAGTTTATTTGCTTTTTGCCATCTTTCCATCTTGAGATGTTTTTCCCCGGTCTTTCCTATATTTATGACACGTTATCCTGACTTCCTCCTCATCATAGCTGTTTATGCGGTTTAATATAGTCATTGCCACTTAATGCTTCTCCTGCAACACGGATCTTCTTTCCTTTGCATCTATTATATTGAGGACAAAAAATATTGTGGTAGTTTCCATAGGAGTTTGATTACAAAATAATATTTGTCACTGACGTGTTTCAATTTTCTGAAATAAACATGATGCGTTTGGTGATTTTTAAACCGGAAATAGATCATGATGCCAGACTTGATCCAATTTCATAATAACAGACGGACACATATGACACAAACAAACACATAAACAAACAAATAAATAAACAAACAAACAAACAAGAAGTTGACAAACAACAGCATCTGTACGATTTTTGTTTTGATAGTCCACGACAAAACTTTTTTTATTTCTAACTACCCCTTCTGCATTTCATTTTATTTTCTAGTTATGTTTACATGAAGTTATTTCTATCATTCCTTTTATTTTATGTATGGATTGTATTGTAATATTGATGGTTTATATGATTTGCGTTTGTGGAATATAGTTAAACTTGAATTGAATTAATATTTCATAGGCCTATATATTGCTTTCGGATGACTATTTCTCAACGTTTCAAAGCAGATAGTTTAGGAAGGTAATATTCTGAGCTTTGATCCCTTCTTAATTCCATTTCCCAAATTTTAGAAATCAGAGTCATGATCACCATTTTTCTACTGAAAAATGGCCACCCCCTCGCACATAGCCTGATTTCTTTTCATCGATTAATTTGAGGGAAACAATATCCACAGGAGTTTTATTTCAAATAATATTTGTTATGTATAACCATAAACATAAAAATATAAACATTTAACGATAAAATTCATGTCAGACTTTATCCAGTTTCATGGAAAACAAATAGGCAGAAAGAAAAAAAGCAACTGACAAATAAACAAAAACTCAGATAATATGACAAGCTTGCTATCTTGCAACATTCTTTAATTCTGTTCTATTGATCAACGTTTCATAATAACATTGACAGCGTAACGTCTCACTGTGTATGCATGCGTTTTCAATTCCTGTTATGTCTATTTCAAGTATATGTTATATTCTCCTTTACTTGAATTGTGTTTTGTAGTTAATTGCTTTTTCTATTTTTATTATATTGTGATTTGAATTTGTATGCTTTTGATTTTTGATTGGAATTGAAAATAAATGATATGTGATACTAGGCCTACTTGATATATTTCAATTTAATTACCCTATTTCAACAATTCAAAGCGGACAGTTTAGAAGGGTTCATCCTAAATTCTGTAATTCCATTTGACAAAATTCTGATATCACACAGTGATGGTCAGCATTTGACTAACTTCCATGAAAGTTCGGACAATTTATGGCCTTGCCTTGCTTTAGATAGGAATGTTTCTCGCACAGAGTGAGTGGGCGGTCTCATCGCTCTCTCTCTCCCTCCCCCCCTCTCTCTCTCTCTCTCTCTCTCTCTCCCTCTCTCTGGTTGGAAATCAACATGCCTGTCCGCTATACTCTACACATTCCGATCGCATATTTCTAGCGATACAGCATCAGCCAACATAAACAGACGTGTACAACACTTCACTCTCTCTCTCTCTCTCTTCCTCTCTCTTCTAAACATCATACGTTGCCATCATACACCGATGGTAATGACGGGATGATAGGCCAATGTGTATTCCACGACATCGGGAACGGACGACATTGCGCGGTCATCGACAACGGTGAACGGTCATAAAAACAAGATGCGATCTCTTTGAATTTTAACCTCTGGTTGTCAAGGTTAGTCGTCTGCTAAATCTTGGTTGCTCTTACAGCGCTTCATGCACTGCACATAGTACTTTCATTACTAATACACAACGCTGTATACGTGCGGAAGAAAATATGTTACGAGTGATAGACTGAGAGAGACGAGTGTATGATCAAATTGCATTTTTCTTCATCCGGATATTAATATACAAGTAAAGTGAACATAGGCTGTCAGAGTGTCAGTATTGCTTTCAGTCTGTCCGTGATCAGACGTTGTAATTCGTCTTTGATCGTGAAACTCAAGCCAGCGCCATAAGCTACGTGACTTCGTGTATCTCTGGATTATAATGGAAGGCATTGTTTTGTAGACATCTTCTCGATCTCGGCTGTCCTCAATCCATCGAGTTGTCTTCCCTTTTACAACGATATTAGGTATGTATCTAGTCTATCAGATTATATTCCTTATATGAAACTACATAGTTCTTGTAAGATTGTTAGATTGTAAGATTTTTAATCTGAGAGTATAGCGTAACGGTTATGTCTCATCCTTCTATATCATTATAAGCGAATCGATTCCTGTTTCAAAATAATGTGTTTGTTACATAATGTTATGTTTTATATTATGAGCATGCTTGAGTATATTATCCACTATCTAGGTAAAACGGTATTTACTGGCATGTCTTAAAACCATAAATATTATAATTTGATTCTATAGGCCGACTATCCTTTTCCTTCCCCTTCCCCTAGGTATAAGGTAATACCACTTCACTTCTTCCTCGCTAGGACAATAACATGTATCTTGGAGTCCGGACATAGGGCATAATACCCCGACCCTGAGCTGCATGATAAGGGTAGTCCTCGAGAGAAGAAAATAATGAAGAGGGGGAGGAAAGGGAGGGGTATTACCTCGGGGAATAAAAGTGGTAGGGTTGGAGGAGAGGTTTAATTATCAAGCAAGATACCAGATATTATTTTTAGAGGGCCCAGTGGGGGCGGCTCCTATATAATTATGGGTAAAGCAGCCTCGGATGATAAAATAGCGTCCAACCACTTATAAAAAGTGTCATAGATACAGAAGGGGGTGGTGCTTTGGGGGGGGGGGGGGTATGGGGTTTCTTGCATTTAATGTTTACATGTGCCTCGCGATTTTGGGTTTTCTTGGGGGGGGGGGGGGCTTGAGGCCTCCATACCCCTCTAGAACATCCATTGCCCTAGATGTAGCAATCAAAATTATCAAATCAAGGAAACAAACACATATTCTATTTCTCAAGATGTGAGAATTTGTTTGCAGGTACATTTTTATTACGAATATTACGTTATGTTGCCTATAAACGGAATGTAGGAACCAACGAGAAACAGAGGAGGGCAAATTAATGAAATAACCAATTTACTTGAGCTGAAACTTTCCGATAATTTGCAATGAAATAGCATTCAATTCGCAATATAATATACATGTATTTCATTTAATGAAAGTAGCAAAAGTCACGAATTGTAGGACGCTCGATCTTGATAAAATACGGATAGTTGAAGGGAAAAAGTAAAGTGCATTCTTTGACAGTGTGGAGAAAATATAGATAGAATACATTGTATTTATATTCAGATTCATTTTGTCAAATAATAATGTGTGATATAAAAATACATCATGTTCAAAAGAAGTCGGTTAAAGGTATAGATGCAAACTTATATCAATATTTCTCGATTGAGTCGTGTAAATGTTCGATTCGGAAAGATTGGAAAGTGAGAGTGATCTATGAGTTTTGATTTATTTCACAATTATGACAAGGACTAATAAATGTTTGTATTGATCTCGATTTGAAAGTAAACAGCTTTAATTATTTCTTTAGTTTAATTGATGTCAAGTTTTATTACTGATTTGTGTCAAATATATTATCAAATAGTAATTTGTGTCAAATTTATTTCCATAAACCAATCGATGTAAAACTTCTCCATCAAACATTAATCATCTTCAATCCGATAATAGGACAGAGTCTTGACATAAAGCATAATCATTAATAAGATGCTGAAACTAGATGTCATGATACTTTAAAGGGATCCAGTAACTTTGTCTTAGATCCTTTAAAAAAAATCCTTGATTTAGCTCATGCGGCAATGATAATTATAAACCTTTAGGTCAGTCAGGAACCACATGACTTTTACAAGCCGATCGCCTGTCTGATTATCAAGATATTTATGATTGAAAATCATAGCACTATAGTCTATTGGACTACAGTCTATTGGGGAACACGAGTGTGGTAAAACCGGTCACTCAAAGGGTTTTACTTTTTTGAGGCACTTCTTGATCATTTTGAAGCGCAATTTTTGTTAGGGCTTTAATATAACACCATTTCACAGACACTGATAACACGTAGGGCTGTGCATCTCAGATTTAACATTGTCAAACGGTCCCTTTAAAAGTCGAAGACAATATTTATCATGACAGTGCACCATTGTACACAGAGGAAGTGGAAGTGGGAAACAAGAGAAAGACAAAAAGAAGAGGCTTTGTGATGCAAAGTTTACCGTTATTGTGTTATCAAGCTGCCTTGTCCTTGAAACCAACCCGCAGTAAAACATTGTAATGTAGGGTTCGGTGAAAAACAGGATGAGCATTGACTTGTCAAACAAAAGAGATAGTATTTCTTGGGTCAAACTGTATAGTTACATGATTGATGCAAAGTTTACCCTTAATGTGTTATCAAGGACCTGCTTGTTCTGGAAACCAACCCGCAGTAAAACATTGTAGGGTTCTGTGAAAAACAGGATGAGCATTGACTTGTCAAACCAAAGAGATAGTATTTCTTTGGACATACTGTATAGTTACACGATTGATTCAAAGTTTACCGTTAATGTGTTATCAAGGACCTGCTTGTTCTGGAAACCAACCCGCAGTAAATCATTGTAGGCTTCCGTGAAATACGGGATGAGCACTGACAAGTCAAACTGTATAGTTACAGGATAACGGTTTGAAACGTGAAGCGACCGAGCCGACCCCACTCTATACTTTATGAGTACAGGGTGACCCTGAAAAAGGAAACACACGTGTACAAACTGGATAAATACAGATTATTCTTTGAGTAATGATGTAAACGTAATTAAAAAGCTTTTTTTCTTTCTCTTCTTCCATAATTCTGGTGTCGAACATGTCACCAGTAAATCACGCATTATCGAGGCTGAAGTGCAGTGCCAGAAACCCAATATTGTCCAAAATAAGTGGGTCGCTGTTACGTTTGGTTCATTATGCCATGCTTTGGAAAGATATGAATTAATTTGGTATTAATAATCAAATAAACACATCATATTTTAAAAGCTCACAAATCTCTTCCTTCGCCATAATCATCATGGAAGGATCACGCACGAGTGAGAAGGTATATAGCACAATGTGCAATTGATTAGACACATGCCATTTTCTTGTAGGAAATGAAATGAAGCAGTTGAACACATGACATTGTGCCTTAGCCCATTACAAATTGTGCCTGCTCGGTCATTCTATCATGAATACGATGCCATATGGAAGATGAGATTACGAGTTTTTAAATGATGTGTATTTCCAACGATTAAAAGTCCCATGTTATTTTCTCTCCTTAAAAAAACATGGCATATAAAATTATCCAAATGTAGCAGATATTTTGCTTATTTTGGACAATTTGGTTTCTGACACTTAATTCTACTTCTGTCTGAAATAAAATCGGTCAATGGTCATACGTATAACTTTTTGATAATGGCTTTCTGTCATAATTTATGAACAAAAGAAGAAAATGAGCTTTCCAATGATGTAAACATTATCTTAAACAGTATTTTAGAATACTTGAGTGATTTACCGAGAAACTTTGGTTTCCTTTCTTCACGGGCACCCTGTATACTCGTCTGTATAATGGTGATGAACTCGCTTGATACACATTCATCGCATAGCTGTAATGTCGGGGGAGAGAGTAGTGGTAAATTAGATTTGATGTCTAGTACTATACCACAAAACAGATGGGGCATTTCACGTCTGGCTGGCTGGCTGGCTGGCTGATCAGGTCAAGAAAAAGATTGGACATTATGTTGTTTTAAACAACATCCGGTTCATGTGAGCATGGACGAACATGTACAACACAATATATAGAATAGATCCTATCTATGTAACCAGGGAGGTGAGAATTTAACTCACATGCCCTGATGTAACGTATGTTTTATGGATCTCTGCCTTGTGCAGCTGAGTCTGAAATAAAGTTCTGAATTGAATTGAATTGACATGCCTTGAAGCGAGATTACGGCGTATATATTATTCTGAAAACAGGTCGATGTGCACAGTGTTAATAGATGTGACTTAATGGGGGGGGGGGGGGGGGGGGGGGGGGGAGTAGGGGGGGGCATGGATGGGGATGGACAACGTAATAGATGTAAAATAATGATACAAATATGTAGACTTTTAGAGAGAGAAAGAGAGAGAGAGAGAGAGAGAGAGAGATGAAGTGGGCCTAATATTGTTGACTACATGACTACTCACAAATTGTGAATATCCACAGTAACGCAGGCCTACAGTACTTATTTGCTAATTTGTCCATGCACAAACTGTAGCCATACATACTTGCATAGGGTCTAAACTAAAAGTAGATGAATGACACGTTAACTAAATTTGTTTAACGCCGTTTTTTTACCTTTCGGTTTTGTATAGAGGTTCTATGACCTCCTGCATATTCTGTCTAATGCTAATCAATATAGGAGCCTATAGGAGGCCATGCTGCATCTTGAGATAGCACTCGACCTCCTGCATGGCCCTCCCTATATAGTAGGGTCTCCCGGAATGTAAGATATACAGTATGGAGTATGGGTCCATCACAACAGATGCACGGAGACCGTCGGGTCTTCACATCGGGTGAAGTACAATTCAATTCAATTCAATTCAATTCAATTCAATTATATTCAAATCAAATCAAATTCGATTCGATTCAATTCAATTCGATTCAATTCAAATCAATTCAAATCAATTCGATTCAATTCAACTCAATTCAGTTCAAGTCAATTCAATTCAATTCAATTCAATTCAAATCAATTCAATTCAAAGTGTATTGATTAAAATCTAAACAAATAGGATCATTCTCAAATGTTTTGTAACATTGGATAACAAATTTCGAAATTATAGTCTAAAGTTTTGATTGAGTGCGAAAGTAAAAACTAGGAATGACACAAATTAAAGATAAACTTTAGTACTGGTAATGCGATTGCATTGTGAAAGAAAAGGTGTGGAAAGGATCAGAAACAGTTGATCATGTAGCATGTAAGTATTGGAGTGCACTGCAAGGTTCTGGAGTCATCAAAATCATAATAAATTTGACAGAGTCTTGGTGAAGTAACAAGCACTGTACACAGAAAGCTATATATGGGACAACACACATGGTGTCGGATGGGGCTAGTACTACCTTGATTTCCTTGTCTTTCTATGCTCATTA